CTGGGCTGTAAGGACTGTTCAGAGTTGTCTACTTTGCCTTAAATAGTAAAGCATATCTCATGTAACTATTTCTCAGAATTAAATATTTTCACATGAGGGCATCCAGCTGTATTTTACATGGTTGCCTACTCATTAGTTTACAACATTTCACCGATTCAGTTTTATGGTTCCCCTTTGTGGAGTTTTAATTTAAAAAAATATATCCATTTGTCAAAATTAGCCATTTTTTGATTTGCAAATAAGGCAAAACCAAACAATGAATAAAAAGCACTTTTTGTGACTTATGACATTTTGTCTAGATTAAGTTTTTAACTTTTCAATCAACAGATTAGACATTTTGCATAATTTAGGTAAAAATTCTGGTCTTCTGGACAAAACCTTTATTATGGGAAAATGGACATCAGGTATATATTACAGAGAAAATGACTTTTTCAATGCAAAAAGACTAGAATACAAGACAAAGAGGTTACACTAATCTCAGTGAAGTGCAGAATTACATTTAATGCCAGGTTAAGAACTTCCCCATTTTCTACCTTAAAATACCTGAGGACACTAATCTTCCTTATCTTAGTGCCCATAGCACTGAATCCTTCAATAAAACTTGATTTTCTTCTGTATAGACATATACATTTTTTGTGCATAAATCTTACTACTATACCCCAATCAGATAGTAAACAGAAAACCAGCAATGTTTTATATTTTTCTTCCAGCGCAGTACATAGGGTAGGTGTTCAATCAACACTGATTAAATGTTGTTTGCCTGAAGTAGAAATTGATACAAGTGTTTCAACATATTAATACAGACAAACCCGGGCCTCGAGTCCTGAGTTCCCTACCTAACTGGCCAAGTGGCCTTGAGTAACTCACAACTTTGCTATGTTTCAGTTTTCTAATCTGTAAAATGGTGATAATAACAGTTCCTGCCTCATAAAGGCAGTGAGAAGTTTGTATAAAAGCTTTGAAAATAAATAAAACAAGGCTCGTAAGATGGGTCTAGTTTGGCCAACATTTACATTCTACATTTCAGTATTCAGCATATTAATGTGCTTTCAGGTTAACTTTTTGTGCCTATAATTTCATATATCTCATCACTCATAAGCAGCTCAACTAAGAAAGTCTGAGTCGGGGCTGACCCCGTGGCTTAGTGGTTACTGGCGGCCTGGGTTCAGATCCCGGGCACGCACCGATGCATCGCTTGTCTGGCCATGCTGAGGCGGCATCCCACATACAGCAACTAGAAGGATGTGCAACTATGACATACAACTATCTACTGGGGGACTTTGGGGAGAAAAAGGGGGAAAAAAAAAAAAAAGGAGAAGGATTGGCATGGATGTTAGCGCAGGGCTGATCTTCCTCACAAAAAAAAAAAAGTCTGAATCACCCAGAAAGATGGTGGAGTGAAATAAAGCCACCTTTGAAGCACCGAAAGTCCCAAGCAGGGCCTTGTCTGAGGGTAAGTCAGGATTCTGGAAGTAAATCATGAATCACAACAGGGAACAGGGACCCCAAACTGGCTGGCGTGCAAGTTATCCATTCTGTGACAGACGTGGAGTTCCAGTGCTCTAAATCACACACAGATCATTTGGGAATCTGTTTAAAGTGCAGAATCTGATTGATTAGGTCTGGAGTCGGGGTGGAGATTCTGCATTTGTAGAATGTTTAGTGCAATATTTTGATGCTTTCACTCTCAAGACCAGTGATAAACACACAAACTGTTTATAAAAGTTCATGGTGTATAGAAAACAAGAGCGATGTTTGCAAAATTATTTATTTACATTTTAAGCTCATATTAAAATCTTTCTAGAATAGAATGGCTAAGAAGAAATATACAAAGTCACTATAAACACATACACAGTAATCTTTATCTGAAAAGAATCCTAGAGATGGCTTTAGATGAACTCAGGTTTTCCTTCACAAAACCCATGTTCCCTTAAATCATGCTGTGATAATGTCTTCTCACAAGAATAAATTTAACTTAAATCATTCAAAAAAGCTGAGAAACAAAAAGCTAACTTGGATTTATTATTAAACAGCTATCTGTATGCCATAAAACCAAAACCGTTTTACAGTTCAAATAGGTCCAAACACGACATCATGAATAAGTTTTAAATATGGAATGCTTTGGTTATTAGGCTCTGACTTGGTTTTGGCATTACTTGTATAATTATATCATTCCAATGAGTCATTACAGGTAATCCATTCAAAACCAGACTTGCTTAATACTGTCACAAAGCACCTAGCCTGGGCTTGACTGGGAGTACCCTGAAGATGCTGACAATAGCAACACATTTCTCTTTTCCCTTCCTCAGACAAAAAGAAAGAAATCAGAAAAATAAAAAATTCATTCTCACATGTTAAAATCTGCCATAAAGCCTTATTCATTCTTCAAAAAAAAAGTTCCCCATAATAATACCTGCCCTGGGTACTGGTACATCATTGAAATGCTAGACCTGCAAGAGCTCCTCTTACACCTTGACAGCCTACGACTTTGTGATCTATTTATGTAAAATATGCTTCAGATCGAATGCATAAGCAATGCATTGGAAGCTTCTGGGAAGGACTGATGTTTAAAATAGTTTTTAAAATCTAGATTTATTAAGAGTTTTAGAAAAAATAAATAAAATACTGTGGTGGTTCTAGCCTTCCCCTTTCTCTCCCTTCACAAATCTGAGCTTGAGAGTTCAGGCTTCTAAAAAGCAGAAGAAAGCAAAACAGAGCAATGTAGGTTTTACCATCCACATTTTCCTTTTCTTAGTGCAACTATTATTATCACAAAGGCAAACTTGATTCTCTTTCCTTGAAATGAGGATCCCATCTTCTAAAACTAATTTAAATAACTGTTCTTAATAAATCAAAATAAAGTTTAACAACCAGTGCAAACAAGCAGCTAAATAACTATAAAATAATGCATAACTTGTGATTTTAAGGAGTACTATTATAAAGTCTGAAAGCAAAATCTTAAACATTTAATTTTTAACAGCTTAATCTCTTTAAAAGGTCTTTTAAAAGCTGTAACCTATATTATAAACTAGTTAGATTCCCAATCTAAACTAGTTTACAAAAATAAACTGCTGCACAAATGTATAAATTTAAGGTAACTTTATATTTCTCATGTTGATCTTTCTTCCAATCTTATAAGTGCAGTAAAGCAAGAAATGAAGCACCTAGATGTTGGTTAAATTAGCTTTCATTTGAGTGGCATTTTGATTTTGGATAAAGGGATTCTAAATGTAGTCTAAAACTTTCCAGGAAGTCATATTTACATTAATTGTACAGCATTTTATATACACATAAATACAGATTTACAACAAATTAACCTATACTTTTCATAATGTAAAAAATAAAATACAACACATGATCACATGCTAAGACAGCTATTTGAGAAACATACTTGGTGTTCAGTTCTGATGGCAATAACCTTGAGTACCTTGAAGCATATCACAAAAGTACGCCACAGACGTTAGTTTACTTACGACCTTAGTCTAGGCCTATCCACAGTTGTAAGTGAAAAAGATTGTCTGTTAAAGCCAATGCCATACAAGTAGTCGAGTTTCCTAGCAATGCTTGCACTGGAGAAGAAAGATTAGGGAAGGCATGACAGCAAATATCAGCTATTCTGAAGTGTAATCATAGGGGGAAGGATTAAAATTAATTCTTTTTCCAGGGGAAATTGGGACTTGCTGATAAGAGCTGTCCAAACATGAAAAGGGCCGCTTCCTGAGTGTGAACTCCCAGTCCACAGACGACCCTGCCCTGTCCCAGCTCTTGTAGCAAGGACTCCTGGGTCAGCCGTGGGACTGGTAACAAGCGGTTAGGCCCCAAGGAACAGCTCAAGTCCCTTGAGGCAAGTTATTTTGTTGAGATTGAGTTTCTGACGTGTGACTTAGGCAGCTCGCTCCATCTTTCGTCCTGCCCATAAAGCAGCCTTCGATTATGCTGCTATACCTCTTGTAAATCCATGGGTTTGGCCTCCCTGGAATACATCACAGTGAATTTGTCTTATCTGATTGCTCTCCCACGCAGACGAACAGGTGGCTGCGATGACCTTTGTTAGCGTCCTGCATCTAGTAAGTCCTCCACCAACTGCTGGCTGACGTGGGCTAGAAGCAGAGATTTTACTTGGGGGGGAAAAGTTATCCAATCTAAAATGTTTACTGTTCTATAAAGTTTTGATCTTGAGACTGAATGGAAAATCCTATTTGGTACTCCTTTCCCTCAGATGGCATGCCAATGCTTATCACAGTAAGAAATTCTTATGGTCAGATTTGAGATGTAGAGGAATAGGAAGTGTGGAAATTTTGACCTATATTAAACAAGCAAACAAATAATGATAACTCTTCCATAAGTTAGAAGAGGTTTTTAACTCTAAAATCAAGGCCTTGTTTCAGAAGATTAAATTCACTAAAAATGTAGAAATAAAAATCCCACTATTGCTCTAAATATAAGACAAATAAATAAGGTCACATGGTTTATACATTTTGAATTCTTAAAGAGGCCCTACAGTATTTCAGGAAGACAGCTTAAAGTATTGTTCCCTGAGTTCTTGAGGCAACCTCAAATGTGAGTTCATGAACTCCAAGACTTGAGAGCGAGAGAACTACAAACCACATAGTTCGCTTCTCTCTCTTCTAAGAGTAGCTGTTTACTCCAAAGTGGTTTGCTCACTGCTTTCTCTACAGCTCAAATGCTGTAAGAATGTGGCTTTATCCATTTCTTAGAGGACAAGCTCCCAAATGAAACCTCTAAGAAGGAAAAAAATGCTGCGTAAAGAAAAGTTTTAACATTAGTTAATACATCATGAGTGGCGATACTATCATACAGGTGTTAGAGGGTCGAGTTCCCACCTCAGTGGTTACTGAGCACGGCTTCTGTTACCAAACAGAATGTCTACCAGTTAATTCAGAGAACCACGACTATTAGAAACAGAATGACCTTTCCATATTTAAATGTGTCAGAGGCATACATTTGGTTTTAAAATAAAGATTAAAATAACCAACTAATCAGATCTCAGACTTGAATCATCTGAAATTTACACATAGATTTGTACATAATAATGATTTTTAAAAACTCATTTAGAACTGGGGTTTTAAGGTTCTTGAATTATCATATATCTACCTTCTTGGTGGCTATTAGAATATTTTTAAAAAATTCAAAACTTGGGAATAACTTGAACAGTGAATATTTGTTTGCAATTCTCATTACAGTCTATTTAGAAAAACAAATTACAATGAATGGAGACTCCAGCTCTGTTGCTGGCAGTTTTAGGTTAGGCTTCACTTTAAGCCATTAAAGGTGGTTTTCTTTCTTTAAAAAAAAAATGTTGGGGCTGGCCCGGTGGCACAAGCGGTTAAGTGCGTGCGCTCCGCTGTGGCGGCCCGGGGTTCACCGGTTTGGATCCTGGGCACGCACCGACTCAACGCTTGTTAAGCCATGCTGTGGCAGCAGCCCATATAAAGTAGAGGAAGATGGGCACGGATGTTAGCCCAGGGCCAGTCTTCCTCAGCAAAAAAGAGGAGGATTGGCATCAGATGTTAGCTGAGGGCTGGTCTTCTTCACAAAAAACAAAATAAATAAATGTTGAGAGAAGGTAGTGAAGTGTTCCATCCATTTCAGTACAGTGCACAAATAAGAGCGTATCCTTTGGCTTTGCTATGACCTCAAGGGAGGTGTAGAAGTCAATGGTGCTGGTGTCAGATTCCTGACTATATTACTGAGGCTGGCAATCTTCTCTTCTAGGAGGTAATTTTTCTTTTCTGCTGTCTTTTGTCGCTGTTCAGTCATCTCCAGAGCTTTCAGTAACTGGGCATTTTCAACATACAAATCTTTCACCATCGCATCTGCTTTCGTATTCTTGCAGAGCTAGAAACAGAACCAGAAACATCTTGATTCCATTTCTGTGATTCTTTTAAGTTTAAGGTCTGACAACAGGACAGTTGTTTATAAAGGCAAATGGCTTCTATCAATTATACTCTTTTATTTTACAATACAGCTTTTACATCAGACCCAGCATCAGGGATACAAGTGGAGCAAATCCACTTATTCCAAGCTGTTTCTTTGCATCACATGTTTGTAGAAGTCACTAATCACAAGAACAGATTGACATTTGAGGGCTCAGAAATGAAAGTTTTTTTCCACCTAAATAAATTAGGTATTATTCTTTTATTCATTTTCTAAAAATATCAAAATACTTTTTAACTTAAATTTCTGAGGTGTAGGGTGCGAGCTGTGTTCAACTCTGTTCTTAACAAAGAAACTTGAGCTTCCCGTTCGTAACTACAACCTACTGATATTTAGGATTTGGCTCCCAGATTATAACAAACAGACAAGACTTCAGCAGTTACCATTCCTTAACTCTTCCTCTTTTGCATAAAGCCTTGTCTAGAAGATATATTCTAATCTTTACGGTTAGAAGACAGAGCCAAAGTGAGGGTGGGGAAACTTGTCAGCAGCCTTGGGATAGTTGGATTATTGCTCCTGTTAATGCCTTCCAATCCCCCTTCCCTCATTATACCTCTAACTCCTCATTTGACACCCAATTTCAATCAGGGCATCTATGAGTATAGGGGTTTAAGGGAATAAGGAACAACTCTAGAGTGGCTAATTAACTTATTAGCATATCAAAGGACAGTGATAAAGGCTGTTAACAGTGGAGCCCTGAACCTAGATGGCTGGCAAGCGGAACATACTGACTACTCTCTACCTAACTGTCCTAATATAGCTTTTCCTCCCTCCCTCCCTGCCTGCCTTCCATTAAAAAACACTTTAATGGCTCTTCATTACCCACAGAATGAAATTCAAACTCCATGGCTCAGCACAGAAGGCTCTCTATGCCCGCTCCTCCCTCTCTCTCTCATTTCTTCTGCTTCTCCCAGGACAGTATGAACTGTTAATGCCAAAGAGTTTGTAGATGTCCACACTCTATAAGTTGTTATAACTCCACGATGTTCCCACGGCCTAGAATGCCCTTCTCACATTTCTTCACCTGTTCAAATCTTACTCAACCCTCAATACTCGGTTTAAGAGGCCGTCAGGAAACTTTCTTTAAACTCCCCTGCCTTGGATCAAGTATTTCTTCTGTGTCCCCTCTACTGAAAAGAGTGGACCCCATTTTCTTTATTTTTGAAACAACTACCTGGCCAAATGCTCGGTACCTTGTAGGTGAACTACACTCCATATGGGCAGGGGTTTTGTTTTGTTCACCCCTGTATCTCTAGTGCTTAGAACAGGACCTGGGACATACTTACTATATGTTGAATAAATGAATGATTAAAGGATTGAATGAATACATGCTCATCATACAGGACGTTTTCTTTCCATTCTGTGTATTAAGATATAGGGCAAAGGAAAGTTCCTGTCTACCTCTGCATTAAGACCCTCTCTTGGGATTATTCTTCTTAGGTGTTATGTATCCAGAAAACCAGGTTGGGCAATTTCTGCCCTCCACCCCCACACCCCTCCCATGCCAATCTCAATCTCTGTTTCCAAAGAAGCTATAAAACTTTCCTAGAAAGTAGTCCTTTTTGCATATCTCTTCAGTGGATGCACAAAATATTACTAAACACTGAGGCCACAGCTGCCACCAGCAGGTGAAAAGGATCAGGCTGCTTAGTGGTCCTGGATTCAGGGTCTGGATTCTAATTCAAAGCACAGCATTTTGGGGTTTGGCTATAGCCATAAGGTACTTTTTGAGGTCGTCATAGCTATTGCAGACAGGAAAGCTCAAGTTCTATCTATTATCCCCCAATTTTTTACCAATATAAGATTTCTGTTTATTTAAATAGGAATATTTCCTGTCTTGGGGGAAAAAAAACCTATAAAAATTCAATTTGAGCTGAACCTCATTAGAAATGTTTTAGGTGTGTGTGAGTCACTGTTAGCAAATTTTTAAAACTGTGGACAAACATATGTCTTAAAAGAGCTTTGGAAAAAATAATGTAGGACACAGAATTCATTTTTTTTTTTTCTGAGGAAGATTCGCCCTGAGCTAACATCTGTGCCAATCTTCCTCTATTTTGTATGTGGGTCACCAGTCCGCGCCCGGGATCCGAACCCGCGAACCCGGGCAGCTGAAGCAGAGCATGCCGAACTTAACCACTACACCACGGGACTGGCCCCCAGAATTCATATTTTTGAATTCTGGTATGGGGGAGCATGAATCCTAAATTCTTCTATACGTTTATAGAACTGCCTTCATTAGACAACAAAAGCTAACGAGTTAATAGCTCTAAAGGAAGGAAAAGCTGGAGTTACAAGTGGAACGTGAGGTGGGTAGGTAGAGACGGCTTGAGCTCACTTGCTCTTTGAGCTGATTCACTTTCTCCTGAAGAAGCCTCTTCACCAGTTTCAATTTCTGTTCAACCTCCATCATTCGTTCCTCCATGACAGTTACCAGTTGTTCCTGGTTTCCCTGAAGGGAAGAAAATGTGAATTATCATTTCCAAATAATGCCACACTGAAAAGAAAGCACTAGTAGTTGACTTCCCCATAAAAGGCCTGGAGAAAGGACAGCAGACGTCTGCCTTTGTAATAGGAAGGGTGGATTCCTGATGAAGTGGGAGTTCTGAACACTGCAGGGGTTGCACGTTAGAACAATAACTCTATCAGAGAAAGAATCAAAGATTTTAAAAAAATCTTACCTGTGTTACCATCTTCCCCTGAGATAAAGCAAAATTCATAAAACCCATAACTTAATACCTGTGTGCACTTCTGGTAAAACAGGTATCCGGAGTAAGTGAAAAGGTGGGCACCCACCTTCCATCTGCAGTTTGGGTCCCTGCAATACTGCGGGCCTCTCAGTAACAAACCAAGGCCGAGTTTGTTCAGGATCGCCTGTCCATCAGCTTGCAACATGCGTGTCTGTCTTTCCTTTGATCACTGTGAGGGTATTAGTGTTTCTTTCTCCATAATAATCAGCCTCTTCCTGCCAGTGCTTCTAGTCAGCTGTTTCCCAACTTGACTTGTCAACGTGAAGCAAACATCTGGACTGGAGGATGGGTTTACCATCAAAACAGATCTAAAATTAAGAATCTTCTCCCCACAGACAACTCCCAGATAAAACAAGAGGGCAGAAAAAGAGCCCTGGCTTCTCCTGCTCTCCTCACACAACAGCAATGGATTAGGAAATGTGGGTTCTGGAGAGCACAGGGACCTAGAGAGAGAGGGTGCAGCTGAGTGCCCCGCTCCAGTCCACCAGTGTCCACGTACAGAACTTCAGATGTGAAAGGCTCTTCAGATGTTTAAGCAAAACTCAGGTGTTCATGGCTGATGCAAACCTGCCTTTATAAGTATTCTCCAGAAGGCATCCTTTAAAAAGCACGCAGAATGACCAAACGAGTTGCAAGCCAACATTTGTTTGGATAGTAAATAATAGCATTTATTTAAACATAAAAGAAACAACTAAACCATGTGACTAATTTGAAGACAAAAATCGTAGGCAAGAAAGTCCAATGCAGAAAGTAAATTTCAAGAAATCAGACCTTGAGAACATCTTTCTTTAAAAAAAATCCTATATTTTTAAAAGATATGGCTTTTTAAAGTTCAGACATAAATGGAAAATGCCTGACTTCTACTTGCCTTGAAAAAAAACAAAGCAAAACAAAATACCATAATAACAGAATTAATTTGAAGAACGTGGAGCATAGCAAGAGTGAGGAAAGAGAAAAAACAAAGGCATTTGTAGATTTAAAATTTATTTTATTGTTTCATCAAAATTTTCCCTTTTCGTCAAAAAAGTTTATACATCTTATACAAAACCGTATAAATAGCCCTGATTTTCTTCAAATTCCATATATAAAAGTAGTACCTTTTGTTAAAAATAGTTACAACATATGGAATGAGAAAATATATAGAATACATCCTTTAAGAATCTCAAATCCACACTCTTTAAACGGTATAAATAAAATGATTTGTAACAAGCTGAAATTTGTGAATTTGATTCACAAAAATCTGCCATTTCTACGTAAATAAACAAGAGACATAATACTGCAGAAGCATAATAATAATAATAATAATAATAATAAAATTTAAAAGAACACTTGAATCCCAAACACGTCTCAGCTTATGTCTGTGTGTGTGTGTGGTGTGTGTGGGTATGTGCCTTTGAGTATCTGCCATGTAAGAAATGCCATCAGTAGCAGCCTAGTATTCACAGGTGCCCAATCCTTCTGTAGGAGTCTGCGTGCACTGCTCGCTGCTCCGGTAGCAAGGCCTAGAGAAAGAAGGCAAGTGGTACACTTCACCCTGATGTCCTGATAACGTTTTCTGGGGGAGTCTAAATTCACACATTTATGATACAAACAACTCTTAAAAGCACACACATTAACACTACAAATGCAAGCAAAGCAACACAAAGGGAGAAGAGATCACATCACTCCACACACAGAGGCAACATGCAGATTCTAATAATATTCTGTATTCTTAGAATTAGTGTCAGCTCAGTTACCAGAAACAGGAGAGCTCGCAGTAGCATTCTATTGAGAGCCATGAGCAGTCCACCCTGCTATCTGACTGGAGGAATTTTTTTTTTAGTATAAAAGTCTTAACAGTTTTTGTCTATCTAATCCTGAAATAATTGGAGTAAAAGGACGTTTTTTATTTTTAAACATTGGTGGGTGGGTTGGGAAGATCATGCTTTGAAAACAGTGTGTAAGAGAGAGCAATGAGCAGAATCATTTGGTTTAAAATGTCCATTAAAAACTGAGGTCAAGGTTTTATAATTCAAGTCTGTAATGAAGAATTGAAGCATCTGTCCAACATCCCACCATCACAATTTTAATTCAAGAATATAATTTTAATATTTGGAAATTAAAGTGGAATACAGGAAGCTTCCAAAAACATGGATATTAAAGCACAAAAGACAAAAAATTTTAAGTTTTGTTAGAAAGAAGAGACGACAGAAGTAGGTCATGACAAAGCATAGATCTATACCAGGAGAGGAAAACAGAGCTGCTCCAATGTATAACTCTACTGCTAATGGGACTTTGCAAAGCCACTGTGAGGGGATTACAGAAAAAGAGTTTGGAAATTCCTTATCAAATGTCAACTTGAAAATGGAAGAAGAGCATCCAAACGAGAAAGAATTAATTTAGAATTCTACAAACTAAGGAGTATTTTTTATTTTATTCCTAATTCTGAATAAATGAAATGGGCAAGACCAAAGAGTTAAGACACTTCTGAAAAAGGATAATTATGAATGAAGCATTAAAGAGAACTACCGGAAAACCTAGGTAATATAAGATTGTGTCTGGTAGTGACCCGGGATAATGCTAATTTAAAAGGAAGGAGAAAAAGATCTTTATTTTCTTAAAAATAGAGTTTTTCAAGCTACATCACTTTAAAAAATTATGTTTAATGAGCTGTGTCAACTGAAAAAAGTCACTGCCTACACATTCTACTTGATTAGTTGTGGAAAGTCCTCACTTGTGAACTCTGTGGACCTCGGCAGGCTGAACCCTCTGGTGCAGGAGAACCCAGGATGCTCTGTTGGTGACGCGCATCCTAGAGCTGCACTTGAATGCTGTAATATTTTTGGCACCAGACAAGAACGTTAAGTCAATTGTGCACGTGCTCAAGTGACCCTGACACTTCATCAACTACGAATGTGCACAGGAGACCCAGAACGCTTAACTAACCAGCTCAGAAGCTGAGGGCTCAAGAGCAGCAAAATACAAAAGCAAAACAAAAACAGCACCGCACTTCTGTGGATTTGCAACACAGGTAAGATGTAACTCTCTGACCGAAGATTTCGGTTCTTGACCCCCACCCATGAACTGGTGTAGCTTTCAAATAAACAGTAACATTAAATTAGGCGGTTGAGTTTACTGTCACAGGAAAAAGGAGCCGTCTACCTGTGGTGTGCTGGTTTCGGAGGCCCTGTTCTCAAGCTCCTCCTGCAGGCGCTGGTTTGTCCGTTCTGCCTGCAGCAGCTGGCGCTGAAGCTGCAGAAACTGCTCCCGGGGCACCACCGGACAGGCTTGCTGCTGGTCCCGGGCGTGAGGGCGTGGGCTAAGCATCACAGGGGCCCGCAGGTGCTGCATCTGGGGGACAAGGGCAAAGCCCCGTCAACTGCAGGACCATCAGTCCCAGAGCTGCCCTTGAAACTGTCAAGCAGGAGTAACGAAGCCATGAATTCACTAAGGGCCTCTCAGACCCACTGACCGCTTGAGACCAGGACAGCACGTGAGCCCGAGCAAGACGGAACAGGGACAAGCCATTCTGCTTAGGAGATGATATTATTAATAAACAAGCAGGCCTTCTTAAAAGTTTTAGACTTAAATTGTACTTCCTCACTCTTGAGTGACTAAAAGGGCATGAGGTACATAATATGTCTGAATTCTACTTCATTTTTTTCTTACACTAGAACATTCAATTATCCCTCTTTAAACTACCACCACTGGGGTGGGAGCAGGCAAAGGGGAGAAAGTGGTCATGCTCTAGGGTTTGGGGGAGAAAGGGTTATACTTTAGGGTTTTGCCACTCTACTTACCATTCATAATGATTCTTAAAAGCAAATATTTAATGACTACATATTTTCCAAGTTAGCGATTTTTTTCAAAGAATCTCACCTTGCATCTAAAATTATTTTAACCTATCTTAGTTATCAATGTTATCCTCCTGAATAGCACAATAAGATAGGCAATTCTGCGGCATAAAGTGATACACCAGAACATCTGAGAATTGAAGTCCATGGAATAGAAGAATTTGTTCAAGACAATGAGGAAATGGTATGTGTATCACATGCCAATCAAAAGTGCGGAGAGGAAACAGGAGACGAGGAGGCCCTGCGTTGGCCGGGGAAGCATGCACTTCACATCTGCCGGCACATTCCACAGACACAGAGCTCAGTGGATGGCATGCAACAAACATGACCGAGTCCTGGACTCAAGAAGCACCTCCAGGCTTGTGAGAGGGAAAAAGGCCCTCTAAGACACAACTATAGTTAAGTGTTATCATGAAACTTCAGAGCCACTATCCATTTCCTTAAATCTAAATTGCTGAGGTGAGCCATTACCCATTCTGAAATATTCCTAGTTGTAGATTCAGAGAACTCAACACTATTTTCAGGAATAAAGAATATGGAGAATTATGATCCCATGACTTTATATCAGCGGGATGATTCTCTCCACATATGTCTCTAAACACTGAGGAAAATCCTGATATAAATGTAAACATACATGTTCCACAGTTAAAGCAAAATGAAAATGAATATTGGCTCTTACCATAAGTACTTGTTAACTGCTATGGTCAGTAGAAATGATTACACGAACAAGGAGTTTAATGAGATGTCTCCATGCTATGAAATTCATGGAAAGAGAATGTTCTACCTTCACACACTATCTCAGGCAGAGAACTGCACCCCTCTCTGCTAGTTCCAACCACAGAGTTCTAGGCACAGGTTAGCCACAGACAAAACAAAAACAAAAGAGAATTACAGGAGTTATAAAAAGAGGAAGAAAAGTGTGAGTTACAAAAAGAGGAAGAACAGTACAAATTGGGTACATCATCTACCTGAATATGCTGCTCTAGTCAGTGAGAACTTATAAAGGACCAACATTTATCTTTCTCCGTATATAGATTTCACAGATATTAAAATGTCTTAGAACTCTAAACTTGCAGCCCCTTCCTCACCTACCTCTGGTTGGTTTGTGAGCTTGCCACCTTTTCCCCCACTCATCCCAACATAATTATTTAGAAGATTCGAGGTCCAGTGTGGAATTCATCTGATGTTAAATCCCTTGCCATTTGGCGATGCAGAATATAAACTATAAAACAACTTTGTTGTTCAGGTGTCTGAACTGTTGGCTATCAGAGGCACACAGCAGACTTGAGAACTGCTGATTATAGTCTGTAACCTTTTTTGAGTGTTCAAAATGACTTCTTTATAGAACATTGCCTCATATGGTTGAAAAAACCCTGGAGTGGAAGTCAAGCGCTTCCATGTTCTAGTCTAGTGATCTGGGATCTTTAGCTACACTGGGGTCGGGGTACGTATTATATTAGATCAGTGACTTTTAAACTGGCATATAGGGATGAGGAGAGACTCCTTCCCCCAAGGGAGTGCATACATCAGATCAGAATCACCTAGAAAGCTTTTCTTAAATTCCTTGATTCCAAAGATTCTGATGTGGGAACAGCTTCCTGGTGCTCCCTGCCCCTCACTCAAACCCGACGATAACTGCTGCCAGAGTGAAAGGAGTTACCTATCCCTCAGGAGAGCTGGGCACAAAGAATAGTGTGAAAACCACTATACATCCCCCAAATTGGCCTAATCTATAGATATCATAACATAAATAAAAATCCAATTTGGAGGGCTGGTGGGAGGGGGATGGGAGTTATTGCTTAATGTTTGGGGTGAGGAAAAAGTTTTGGAAGTGGTGGTGATGGTTGTAGAACATTATAAATGTAATTAATGCCACTGAACTGTCCACTTAAAAATGGTTAAGATGGCAAATTTTGTTATGTATATATTTACCACAATTTAAAAAATTAATGTAATATACCAAAACCCATTGAATTGTACACTTTAAATGGGTGAACTGCACAGTGTGTGAATTATATTTCAATAAAGCTGCTAAAGAATCCCATTTGTATAGGTCTATTAAGAGTTAATAGCTTGGTCTTATTGCCCAAAGGAAGTTTCATTAGAATAGACAGTGTATGAGATGTTCTTTTCAGTGGTCCCATTGAAATTTCATGCTTTTTCTTTAGTTATTCAGCTCTAGTGCCAAGAAAACTCAATTTCTCTCATCCATTAGCAAATATTCACTACTAGATCAGGAAGAAAAATAACGAGGGGACATTGCTTATGACAGCTAATAACGTAAGTGGTGCTGGGAGAGAAGGGGCTCTCGAGGGCAGGTAGAGGGGAACTGGGCCGTTGGCAGCATGTCTGGAGAGGATCTAACAGTGATTAACACTTTTCAGTTTGGTCTAGACATGTTGGGCTGGCTTCAGAGATCTTATTCATTACAGTACGTAAGTATTTCATCAGAAAAGCACATCTACATCTAAACACAGCCCACAGCTCAAGGTTTTGAACACATTTATTATATGCTGTCAGAGAAAGAAAAAATGGTTGGGATTTCACTATTTATAGTTTCACTAATCTCTCTATTAGTGGATAATCACAGAACATAAAATTGACAGAAATCTTAGTGGTTATTTAAATGTCAATGTGATATGTTTGCCCATATTTCACACTTAAAATCCAAGCATCTATTTAAAGTTACCTTTGCATGTGTCCAGCTTCATAAAAGGAAATATTTAAATCTCTCTCTTCCTTCCTATAATTCTGGCTTAAAAATATTTGTACATATACTCCTCTCTACCTTAAATAAATTTTACAGTTCACTAAATGTTGGATTAATTAATATTTTCATCTACCCAAAGCAAAGTATCTCAATGAAATTTTTACTTATTAAGGAGGGTTTGCACATAAGTTGTTTTGTATCCTATAATTGTACTCAGTAGACTGGAAACTCAATGTCCAAGCCAACAAGTTTAACAAATCCATTTTCATATTTAGCAGATGTACCTCTCACAAAGCTGTGCTGAGTTACAATAGTAATGAACAACAGCAACACTTGAAAATTAAACTTTTAAATGCTAGTGCTCTAAAATTTCCCACATGGATTTCCTAGCTGAAGAGACTGTTAGAGGGCAATCAGATCTATAAAACACTACAACATGGAAGGTCTCAGCAAACTGTTACAACCACGGCCATGGCGAGAGCTCTGGGCCTCTCAGCCAGTATCCGAGTCCCTGCCACTTGAACTTGTGGAGGCACAGGTCCTTGCATTTTAGGATAATAAACAGTATTTCTTCCTCTGTGAAGCAGTATGAATTCCTATGACTGTAATTAAGCAAAAACATCTATCACACTTGGTAAGATAGAGCAAAGAATCAGCTTGGCAGCACGCTTAGATTTTCACAATAGGAATTCAACGCTATGCTAGTCTCTCCCAACAAATGGCTCATTCATGGATTAAAATATTCTTCATAGCTAAAACCATTCACTTAAAACTTACCTCCATTAGCTGCTCATCCAGTTTTACTTGTTTCTTTTTGAGGCCTTCATTTTCCAAATGAATTGTTTCTAATTCTTGTTCAAGGGAATTCATCTGACTGACCTGTTAAAAAACAAAAAATTCCCTTAAAAAAAAAAACCAACCCCCTGAGTTGCTGTGTTTTACATGGACAAATTTATGCTAGTAAAAGATATCTCAGCTCTTGGAAGAAAGCCAAGTTCATTCAGCGAGGGAAAACAACTTTGATTACATTTAAGTAGTCTAGTTTTAGTCACCACTCCTCACAGTGAACCGATTCCTTAAGGCACTGGCTTTAAACTGCAACGCCACTCACTGTAAGAAATACTTTTTATCTTGCAACCCAGTACATACAACCATACCCACCTGTACACATATATGCATAGTTATAAGTACATATCACTGAAAGAAGACTTTCACGAAATACTACTTATCCTGACCATGATCCATGTGCTTTGATATTTTCTAGTATATTTCATTAATAAAAGTGCTAGTGTTTCACTAAATCAGTTTCATGATCCTCTACTATGGATCTGTGGTGGGAAAAACACTGTCTTTATGTAAAGTTTAAAGGTTTAAAACTGAGACTACATAAAACCTGATTTATCTAACTCCTTTCTCAATTTTAAATTTGAAGATTTTATGAGTATCCATTTTTGGAATTCTCTTTATTACAGGAAGAATCTAATGAGCTAGTGGACACTGGGATTCAGAATATTGCCACATCGAAAACAAAGGACACTATTCTAGAAGAGCTGAGGAGAAGTGTAGCAAGAATTGTTAACCGGAAGTGTCATCTTCCCAGGCACATTTTACATTCATTGTTATTTTAAAACCTGTCTTTAGACTTTTCCCTCTGTGAACAGCTGGATGAAACCCACTGTCTTTCTGAAAAGTTTACTTGAATGTACCTCAAATTAAATAACATTTCAGCGTTTGAGCACAGCCAGTCTTCTTACTGCCCATGGTCACGATAACTTTCACAAACTTATAAATTTTTCATAAGAAATTTTTTTTAACAAAAGTAAATGATTGTTTATTATTCTTCCCAGATTTTTAAACAAACAGTAATTTTCAGAAGAGGAAGGTAACAGTGAAAACTCGGAGTTTTAGTTTAGAAAAAGAAAGAAAGGAAAACAAGCCTCAACGAGAACTCCCAGAGTATCACTGGTCTAGAACACTAACTTGATGGAACAAAGCACCATCATGCGCCACATAATGACATCTCAGTCAATGACAGGAGGCACATATGTCGGTGGCCCCATAAGATTAGTACTGTATAGCCTAGGTGTGAAGTAGGCTGTACCATCTAAGTCTGTGTAAGCACATTCTGTGATGTTCACACAAGGATGAAATCGCCTAACGACGCATTTCTCAGAACGTGTCCCTGTTGTTATGCGTGACTATACAGAAAGCAAACTGAGCTGTGCTACAGAGGACTAAACATGCAGTAGCCAGCCTCCAAGATGGTGTCCAATGATCCCCACCTCCTGGTATCCATACCCTTGCACAGTCCCTCCCACAATGTACCAGGGTTAGTCTGTGTGACCAACAGAATTCAGCAGAAATGAGTGTGTCAGTTCTGGGATTAGCTTATAAAAGGTACTACAGCTTCTGTCATGGTCTCTTCCGATCTCTCTCTCGTATCACTTGCTGCCACGTCCTGAGAAAAGGCCCAGGTGATGAGGAGCTAAGGCCTCCGGCACTCAGCCAGCAAGGAAAAGAAGCCTCCTAACAGTTACATGAGTGAACTGGGAAGTGGATCCTCTAGTTCCAGTGAAGCCTTCCAATGAACATGAACGCAGCCCCGGCCAATACCTGGACTGCGCCCTCATGAGAGAGCCTGAGCCAGAACCACTCAGCTAAGGGGCTTCGAATTCCTGACCCTCAGAAACTGAGACAACAAACACTTGTTTTAATTTGTACACAGCAATAGACAAACTAATACAGACCATATCAAGATGTTCCTAATATTCAGGGTATATATGTTTTACTAATTTATAAAAGCTTATAATACTAATGAAGATGATTAACCATCTTCTTTATTGAAAGCTTAAAGTTAATTACTCCTTTTCAACCATCACTCAATCAAAAAGAACTATGATACTGTTTTGATAAGATTACAAAAGAATAGATATTAGGAAGAACCAAAATACGCCATTGTAATCATTTCCTTGGAAGCAGGCAGAGAAGAAACATACACTTAGGGGCACATCATAGTCAGAACATGGACACATGGTATCAACTCTCAAACTCACCTTCCTGCTAGTAGGAGATGGTTCCTTTTGAAACTGTTCACACTCTCTCTTTAAGCTCGACTTCTCCTGCTCGTTGGGCTTCACAGTACTTGATGAGTTCAGATGTTTTTGGTGCTTGGGGGGAAGAAGGTTGGATTCCAGTTGGCGGACCTAAGAAGAACAAATGTAAGAGGAAGAAATGCTAATATAATCATCCAGCCAGGAAAAACAAACGACAAAGATGTGGAAAGTTTTTATTCAGTGCTTGGGTTTTGTTGTATTAAAAACACTTTTTTTTCAGTCAGGTCTGCCAATTCCAGAAGCATATTTTTTTGGATTTCAAAAGATCCTTTCTAGGTAAATCTATTTTTTGATTGTTTGTTTGTTTATTTTGGTGAGGAAGATTTGCCCTAAGCTAATATCCTCCTCTTTTTGCTGAGGAACATTGGCCCTGGGCTAACATCTGTGCCCATCTTCCTCTACGTTACATGTGTGATGCCTGCCAAAGCATGGCTTGATATGCGGTGCATAGGTCCATGCCCAGGATCTGAACCCGTGAACCCTGGGCCACTGAAGCAGAGAGCACGAACTTAACCACTACGCCACCCAGCCGGCCCTTAGGTAAATCTATTTTTAGTCTGGTTGGGTCTAAAAATCCAACACTGTAAGGATCAGACAGGAGGGAGGGGACTTCTGACGCTACCACCCACAGGGAGTCAATAGTGTGATGCGGCTGCAGGAAAACACAGTCCTAGGCACTTCTGCTCTAACATGAGCATAACTTTCAGGAGTGGTTGGGGTGACAGTCCCATCTACTTTGTACTGGACTGTTCACACCCGAAACAACCCATTTACATCAACTAAGTTCCATGAGGACAGTGACCATCTGTCTTGTTCAACACTGAAACCTCAGTGATAGCCAAGTTTCTGGCACCAAGCAGGTATCCTAATGAGTATCTGTGGCTCTTACGAGTTCCCCCTCGAAAGAGATGTGTAAGAGTAGGTTAAACATAGTTGGTTGACTGCTTAGCAGAGGTAAAGAATTTGAACATCAGTTTAGTGGTTGGAAAAGATGATCTTTAAAGACAATTCTAGCCTTGAAATGCTGAGTCTTCCCCCCCCCTTTTTTCTCCCCAAAGCCCCAGTAGACAGTTGTAAGTCATAGTTGCACATCCTTCCAGTTGCTGCACGTGGGACGCCGCCCCAGCATGGCCCGACAAGCGGTGCCTCAGTGCGTGCCCAAATCCGAACCCGGGCCGCCAGCAGCAGAACGCGCACACTTAACTGCTAAGCCACTGAGCCGGCCCCAAAATGCTGAGTCTTTAAAAAGGAACATCTTTTCTCTCCCATGGAGTTAGACCAACAGGATTTGAGCCTAGTTTTGCCATTTTGTACCACCAGTCCTGGTGGCTGGCCTATTTGAATGAGAAATATGTGGTTAACGTAATTTCCAGGAGTCTATATTTTGGATATGAGGATTACAATCAGATTTTAATATAGAACTGCTTATACAAAATGAAAAATATTGTATAAAGATATCAGGATAAAAATATATGCAAGTAATTGATAAATTATACATTCTTAAAATAAGCAGAATACTCAAACCCATACCCTGGAATCATTTCAATCATATCAAACATTCATTTTCATACATATGCCACCATGTGCAACATTTCAAGCTACCTTATCCCGGGAGTGTGTGAGTTCTGCTTTAGTGTTCTGCACCACCGTTTGGAATCTCTCATTCTCTTGCCAAAGCAGCTGTTGTTCCTCATTCATCAGATGATCCAGCTTGTCCCAAGGCAGCCTTTGCTGCTCCTTATGGAATCCTGATGGATAGGCGGCTATTTCTGGGGCCCAGTTCTTAAGAGAGAATTGCAGAGTTAAGCCTTAAAAACAAGCTGATTTCTATGTTGAGTGTCATATTTACCTAATGACAACAATTCTTAGTAAGCACCTTTCAACCTTCACCTTTGTCTTCTAATGGAAGTGAGTGTATGTATATACAGATGTAAATAAAACAATATTCTTGGGTTTTGATTTAAAAAAAGGTTTGGAAATTATCTGTTTAAAATGGTCTTTGGCCACATAGCCCCGTGAAGTCTAACAGCAAAGATGATTGTAGGGCAAGTCCCAGTTCCATACAGGACCCAAGTACATAGAGATTAGTGGACTTAAAAATTGCCTCATTTTCATGAAGTTATGCTTTGAACCGGATAACTACTCTTTTGGTTAATAGACGACACACAGAGAGCTCTGACCCACGTTGCTAATCTGAAAGCGTTCACCAGCTCAACTCCACTTCCATTTCCACACGTGCCGTCATATCCTTTTTTAGAATCCAAAGCACATATTGTGCATGTAATTGAGGCCTGAACTCAGGAATACACTTTAAGCTACCAAAGTGATTTTTTGGATCCTAAAAAACGCTTTAAAAAATAAAAAAGGTAACACAATTAGACAAGCCTTTTGCCTTTTAAGCCATAACATTAAAAAGAGAAAAAGATACAATCTCATTTTGAGAAAAATGTCAGCCCAGAAGTAATTTTAAAAAATGGAAAGAACTATTAAAAAAAAATCACAGTTAAAAAAAAAGTATCACTAAGAGATAAAATGACTGAATTAGTGCCTACGCTCATGGTATGACAAAGTCTTCACATCTACCCCAAGGCTGACGTCTATAACCTTGTTCTTCATTTACTTGTGCACAGATCAAGTAGCAGAGTGATACATGAAAGTGACACACTTCCTACGACATCACAATGTTTCAGTTTTATTACTACAAAACAATTCAGCCGTGGTCTTGTGACTTGCACAATACAAAAAATTACCTTGTTACTATGGTTCCATGTATATAGAGTTCAGAAACAAGCATCCCTAACACCTATGGTGGCCGAGGGTGGATAAGCAGTTCCCTTGGGGTTATCAACTGGAGGGGACACACGAGATCCTGCTGGCTGCTGAACGTGTTCTAGATTTTGAACTAGGTGGTGGTTACACAAACACAAACATACACACAAACACGTAAAATATATTTATATGTACATACACATACATGTATAAAAATAAGTCATAGACTTAAAATTTGTGCCCTTTACTGTATAAAGTTATACTTCAATAAAAAAGAAAAATTACCTTGTCACCAGCATTCTGAAGTTGCTTATGTAAAGACATCACTTCCTGTTTTAAAGCCTCCTTTTCCTGCTGAGTCACTCGTAGGTCAGATTTAATCTGGGACATTTGCAGGTTTACGTTCTGCAGCGTGTCTTCTAAACTCTGAACCTGCATCACGAGAACAATCTTACGCTGTGACAGAAATCCTCCTGGTCTCACCTACAGCATGTCCAGGTAGGAAAGAGCTAGAACAAGAGAACTCCAGGACCCTTCTGATTTTGCTTACTATATCCAGCTCTTGTCAGCAGCTCAGTGGAAACCCAGCTATTATGCATTTTTACAGGATGTTAAATTATAGTTAGGCCAATGATGAACTATACCTGGAGCAAGGTATTGCTGATGGAGTCATCTGGTATATCACCAGGTGATATCTTACAGAACCAATGAGCACCAACTGGCATCACCAAGGGTGGTTTTACTGAATTTTGTAGAAATTATATTTTAGCCTGTGGTGTTGGTTTGTAAAGGACCTCTTAGTTAAAAATAAAAATACATACTTGTATATTTCAATTTAAAAAATTTTAAATTTGTAAAAGAAATGCTGATAGAGATCTTTAACTATAATAGGACATAAATCAGCCTTAGAAATCCTATTTCTAAATTAGGAACAAGCAGTCCTTGAGAATAGTGTTATTCTCAAGCTTTCACAAATAAGTAATCTCATAATTATAATAATGAACTTTGAGGGAAATATTGTTCAAATTATTTCACTATACTGTAAACATGTGTCAAATATTAGTCAAATTGAATCATTCTCAGTGCTCTGAGGCCACTTCCACCTGGAACCTTCTTTCCACTGGGAGTTCTGTTGGAAGATGTAGGAGAATACTAATTGTGTGGATGAAACAGGAACTGTCCACGTACCTTTTCCTGTGAAGCCATTAGCTGTGACTTTAAGCTTTCACTCTGGTGTTCCCAAGACCTCTGCTCTTGCTTCATGGTAGCAATTTTGTGCTCTAAGAGTTTGGATTTTGCCAGCTGTTTTAGGAGAAGAAAGGAGGTAATGGCACTTTTGCAAACACATCTAGCCTCAATGTACCTGCCTCCACTTCTGCTGAAAAAGATCACATACCATTTGTTTACATGGGGGAGCAGGGTCGGGGGAGAGAAAGACTCTCTTTCCTGACTCCCTTTCTACCTTTAATTTTGAGGAGTCTCTTCTCATTAGCGATTTCCACTTTTCTTTCTCATTGCCTCATATTTTGTGGGTGAGAGATGGTGGGCTGGAAGGCAATTAGAAATCTCAAGGGTGCACCATAATAGGAAACTACAGAATGCCTATTAAGGCAGGTGGGACCAAGCAGCGCTTTTGGATTTGCTAAGGAAAATACAATAGAAAAAAAGTGTCTATGTAATAGATCTCAGATTATTAAATACAACAATATTTAGGGGCTGGCCCAGGGGGCGTGGGGGTTAAGTTTGCGCGCTCTGCTTCGGCAGCCCAGGGTTCACCAGTTCGGATCCTGGGCGTGGAACTACTCACTGCTCTTCAAGCCATGCTGAGGCGGCATCCCACATAGAGCAACTAGAAGGATGTACAACTATGACATACAACTATCTACTGGGGGTAGATAGTTGGATGTCTAGTGGGGCTTTGAGGAGGAAAAAAAAGGAAAAAAGGAGGAAGATTGGCAACAGATGTTAGCTCAGGGCCAATCTTCCTCAAAAAAAAAAATAGAACAATATTTATATTATTTACAACATATAAATAGAATAGTCATACATTTAAATAATATACACTAAGTAGCATGGTTACATATTAAAATGAGACAAACTTTAATACTGTATTTAGTAATATCATTAGTAAACAACTAATGTAGACTCCTGTTAAACTTGTGGCTTCAGGAGCTCTGAGGTCACATAATCCCAGCTGAAATGCTGTCCAGGAGAGTTTGGAACAATTAGGCCAACACAGGAGGCCCACGTGCCACTGTGCAGAGACATGCTTGTGGTGGTATACACTGTAAAATGAAGGCAAAAACTCTACCTTATCAACACAGCTATTTAATTCTTCACTTAGAACTTCCTTTTCTTTCAGCAGTTTTTCATTGTAGCTCAGAACACTAGAAATTTTCTGCTGCAAGTCGGAGAGATCGGGACATCTGTGCAGCTGTAAGAGAGAAACAAAGGAACCCTCCCATCACATCTTGTGGCTGTATTTATAAAGAGGTATTTATAAACAGGGCATTTTCATGGCTGCTGCTATTTCAGAGGACATATAAACTCTAGCGGACTATAATTAACTTTAACAAAATGTTCCCTGCTAGCTTCTCTCCATTCTCCAATTGACTGCGGAAATGTCTGCTCAGACAGACTCAACCAGACAGATGTTGTTGAATAATGGTCCTGGCTTTCTGTTTCACCTTCAGGGTCAAGTAAAGAACATACTGCCATTCTGTCATCAATTTAATGTGTACATATAGCACAATACGTTTTCCTCATGCTTTTTTAACTAGAAAAAATCGTTTCAAAGATCTCAGTCAAGACTATAGAATTGGCATGAACCAAGTACGATATATCAAAACAGGGCAAGTTCAAAGATAAAAGTATCTGTTTTTGAGCTTGTTGCATATACGCTTTCCTTGGGAAGACGCCTAAATTGACTTGCTTGGTAAAATGTTGCTGGTGTGGACAGTCTGGCTCCCTCCTCTCCACTTGATGGGATCAGAACAAACCAGCCTCTTTCTGTTCCTTTTCAGCATCAATCTTAGTTAGCACTGTGAACAGTTTTGGGCCAGGTAACCTTTTGTTGTGGGGGGCTGCAATGTAGGATGGTTAGAGCATCTCTGGCTTTACTGTTAGATTCCAGTAGCACTCCCCCCACGCCCCCACCAGTTGTGAAAACCAGGAATGTCCCCAGACATTGCTAAATGTCCCAGGGTGGGGGGGGGGGGCTTCTCCCCCCAACCACTGCTTAAGGAGACTGATTCTTTCTTACACTTCTTATCCCTTCCACATAGATCACACGTTTTTAATTTCCCTCTGCTTCACCTGGCTTTCAAATTTTCAGTTCTTTATCATCATTATGATTTTATGGCCATCTTCCTACTTCCTACCTTAAGTTCTTTTACATTAGCTTTAGGAATAGTATGACAAAATAGACTTTAAGGGTTGAATCCTGTCTTTAACTAGCAGCAAATCCAGCTTACCTTGCAAATCTAAACAAGTCAGAAGGATGTAGGAAAATGCATCATAAAGCACCTGGGTGCTGGTTCACTAAAGGACCTCTGTTTCTTTCCTCACTACCTTGTCTCCCCACCCCCGGACCCTTGCAAAGCCAGGTACCATTCTGGGTGTCTACAGACTGGCCTGTGACTTCTGCTGATGCTATTCGTGTTTCTTTTCACCGCGACAGATAAATACGAGTAACAGTGTTTTGTGAACGAGGAATCATTTTGTCATACAGAGCAGCACATGCTTTCTAGGTCCAAGCTATAGAGCAGCAACAGTGGGCTGACACCATCCTACTCTGTGATCCAAGAGTCCAGGTGCCATGAAGCAACTTCCTACCAAAGGCAGACAGGGCTTGCTGTTTTTCCACCTCACTATTTATATCAACACCGCTGTAAAAAACATGCAATAAAAATGTGCCACATGATGTCCTCATCACGCCGTTTTACTCCCACTCTGCTCCTTTTCTTCTGATTTCTAGCTTAGCAAAGTCACAAAGCACACATTTCCTGTGCTCTGGACTTGGAACCTGTCATTATCCTCTTAAAGGCTGAACAACAGACAAACCTTCAAAAGGTAAAGGAGAAAAGAATGCCCAAGTAAATGAGGATGAACTTGGTAATAAGAGCTTTGCAATACTTATACACCACAGAAGGGCCCTATGAGTTGTAACTTCTGGATTGTTTACATAGACAGGCAGCTTCCGTTATGGCAGAACAGATATCCTTTGCAAGCAACATCTGACTTGAAAAGGTACTTATAAAGCATACCAGTGGTTAGAGCATCTCTAGGTGTTATGAGAGACACAAGTTCCCTGAGAGTCTTATAAGCCTATTAGGAAATCAAGACTTATAGGAGTCAGTCAGAGACTAACACAAACGTAACACTCGGTGGTACAGACTCAATATTTCAGCGTTCAGAGAAGGACACCTCTATGCTCAGAGGCTGAACAGTTACAAAAGAGAATTTTATAATCTAAAAATGTCATAATATTAAAGTAATCCTTTGGTGAAGCAAATAAATAAAACAGAATAACTAAATTCTCCTATTATAAATCAGGATTGCTCAAACTGCAAGATTCCTGTACTCTTTGAAAAATTCAAAAGAATAAAATAGGACAACATTCAGGATATAACTTTAAGGTGAATCCTCTTTTTTTTTTTGTCAGGAAGATTGGGCTCTGAGCTAACATCCTTTTCCAATGCAAATTTTTTTTTTTTTTTTGCTGAGGAAGATTATCCCTGAGCTAACTTCTGTGCTCGTCTTCTTCTACTTTGTAGATGGGACACCAACACACATGGCTTGATGAGTGGTGTGTAGGTCCAAGCCCAGGATCCAAACCTGTGAACCCCAGGCCGCCAAAGCGGAGCACGCAAACTTAACCACTACGCCACCAGGCTGGCCCCAGGGTGAACCCTCTTTTACACTTAAAATTAAGTCTTTGTTTGAAACTTTGAAATAGGCTTCTCAAAGCCAAATTCGTAAGTGAGACTGCATCCCTGATAATGCTCTAGAATTTTCTCTTGTGCCTAACATACATGCCTCATATTTGCTATAAGAAAAAGGGATAAGAGGGGCTAGCTTCCCCTGTGTCTCATAAATCTAGGTGAATAGTTATTAAAAGTTATGAGCAAGAAAGTCACCTTCTTTTTAGACAAACTTATATTACTTTATCACCTGGCCAGGAGAAAACAGAACAACAAATTTCTTAAACTGAAGTGGTGGGATTCATTTATAGTAATAGAATTTCAGTCTACAACATATATAAGTCACATAACTAGAAGAACATGTAGAGAATTAATGCTAGGAGCCCTTATAAATAGACTTGTTCTGCAAGCTCTCAACTTCACTAAGCAATAGGCCACTTGACAGGTCTCAGTAAAAAGGACGTTGGTGGCTAGAAAAGCCAGACCATCAGGTACATACAGTTCTGTGAGCTCCCCGTCCCCAAGCAGCACACAGTCTTACTTGTCTCAGTTTCTCCAATTCATCTTTGAGAAGGAGGTTTTCCTGTTCCACAATATGAGTCTGTATTTTAACTTCAGAAAGTTCTGCTTCCAGAGAAGACACTAAAGTGGAGGACTGAGAAAAAAATGTACAAGTCAAATAGACATACTCATCTAGCCTGAGGGAACTTGCTAGGTTCCCAAAAGGCAGCATTAGGGAGACACTGGTACAAATTCAATGACACTCTGTCCTATGACATTTACCCTTATACTCAACAGAACTAAACTATCTTTTAAAAGACTTGCCACTTAAATGGCAGGAACATGATTTCTAAGGTAGTTTTTGCAGTTTTCTCCACTGTAAAGTTCCCGTCTTTCTCTTGGGGGAGACACTTTGAGACTATGCAAACCATGTTTCTCCTTAAACTTCTGCTTATTAATTTTAGTGTCTATCAGTGGATTTTGTCTTAATACAGTATTTTAATACCTCATATAATAATTTTAATAAAAAATTATTACTCTACTGTTTGCCTAGTGATGACTTTCTATTTCCTTCTTTCTTTCTACATTTATTAATTGGAATTCTACTTATGTAAGGAAGAGCTGTTGTTTCTCCCCCCTTTATTTACTTATTCAATTTTTTTTATCAGTATGGACCCATCTTTATTTATTTTATACTACACTATGATTATTTGTTGTGTTGATCTCATTGTTCCAGCTTTGGCCATTAGGAGCTCCTTCGGGTTGGGCCCTGTATCCTTTCAACACGCCCCCATCTTCTTGTGAGCACTGTTTTCTTTCTGGCACCATGAGATGTTCCAGGCTCATCTTGCGTTTTCCCTGCCCCAGCCTTGGAGTCAATCATTTTTCCAAGGAGCCCTGGCTCCTTTTGTAGGAGAACAGTATTTAGAAACCAAGACCTGGACACCCATTTGTATCCACACATCTGCATCTCTGTATCTATCTCTCTGTATCTATATTAAGAAACGTGAGTTGACACTAACATCTTGAATCCCAGTCCAGCGTCACAGGGTTCGTCTCAGCCTTCCGTATTGCCCCACTTGCACCTCCGTCTCCAACAGAGAAACTCAGTTCTTATTGTCTACAGTATATGTACTCATTTGCTCAATCCTAGCACACACAGAGTAGCTTCAGAAGTACTAACCCACACCCCCCCGAGAAACACGTTTCCTGACTAGATCACTAGAGCAGTGGGTGCCCTTCATATTGTCTGTAGCCCTACAGGATACAGTCAAGATGCTAATTTCCCATTACATAAGTTAATTCTTCTCTTCCTGTTGTGGTTATGTTATCCATTCATAATACAGTCAGGTTCATTTGTTAGTGCTGTGTTCCATCTTGGTACCCCCACATCTGGACTGGTTTTAATCGTGTGTTTATTTGGGTGTATGTGAAGAGTGTGTGTTTTAAGAGTTAGAGCCATAGGAAAAGACATACTCAGTGTCATTCCCTCCCTCATCCCTCTCCCGCATTCTCATTGGCCCCCTGCCCCACCCCAGGTAACCATCTCTTCAGTTTCTGGCCCGTCCATCCTCTGTTTCCTTTGCCCAAATGAGCAGACACCTGTGGATCTTCTAGTGTCCCCTCTTCCTTATGTGGAGCATCTTCCAGATGCTCTTTGCACCTTTTTTTTTTCACTTAACAGTATGTCCTGGAAATCATTTCATAACAATAGAGATCTTTCTCATTCTTTTTTTCTGTTTTTTTTTTTTTTTTTTTTTTTAACAGCTGCAAAGCACTACTCCGTGGTGTGGCTGTCCCCCCCACATTCATCCAACCACTCTCCTCTGTATGAGCATCCAGGTTGTTTCCAATATTTTGCAATTACAAACAATGCTGCAATGAATAACCTTGTGCATATGAATGTTCATATTTTTGGAGGTGTATCTTTAAGGTAAATTCCTAGAAGTGGGACAAAAGGTAAGTACATATGTAATCTTGTTAGGTATTGCCAAATTTCCCTCCAGAGGATAATGTCAGTTTATATGTATGAAAGTGCCTGTTTCCCCAAAGCCTTGCCGAAAGAATCTGTGGTCATATTTTTAAACTGTTGCCAATCTCATAGGTGAGAAATGATACATCAATGTTGTTTTGATTTGCATTTCTCTAATTATGAGTGATTTTGAACATTTTTTCCACAGGTTTGAGGGCCATTTTTATCTCCTTTTTGTGAACTGTTTGTCCTGTGTTCTTCCCATGTTGCTGTCAGATTTGGGTCCTAAGGCCTTTGATTTTTAGGAGTTCTTCACATGGTAGGGGTATTAGCCCTGCTCTGTGGTATAGGATGTAAATATTTTCTCCCAATTTGTGAGTAGTCTTTTGACTTTGTTTATGCTCTTTTTTTGTCATGCAAAATTTTTTTAATTCAATAATTTTTTCTTTTTTTGCCTCTGGTTTATGAGTCATAGACAGACTTTCTCTACACCAAGGTTAAAGATGAACTAACTCATGTTTTTTTCTAGTACTTGTATAGTTTTATTTCTTATGTTTAGACTCCTAATCCAATCAGAGGTTATACTCATGTATGGTGTAAAATATGGATCTAACTGTATCTAGTTCCAAATGTTTACCCAATTGTCCAGGCTCCACTTATCAAAAAGTCCATCGTTAGCCCAGCACTTTGAGAAGCTGCGTTTGTTAAATGTTAAGTTTTCCATTTGTGTTTGGGCCTAATTCTTTTTTTCTTTTAAAGATTTTATTTATTTTATTTTTTCCCCCCAAAGCCCCAGTAGATAGTTGTATGTCATAGCTGCACATCCTTCTAGTTGCTGTATGTGGGACTCGGCCTCAGGATGGACGGAGAAGTGGTGCCTCGATGCGCACCCGGGATCCGAACCCGGGCCACCAGCATTGCAGCGCGCGCACTTAACCACCAAGCCACAGGGCCGGCCCATGTTTGGGCCTAATTCTAGACGTCCTATTCCACTTCCCTGTCTTTTCACGTGCTGGTACCACAGTTTCAATTACTAAGACTCTATGTATAAGAAATTTAACACAAGCCTTTCTTTGATTTCTTGGGATTTCCTCTGGAAAGGCTGCGGCCACAGGCCATACCTGCCCTTTACAGTGCTCCAGTTCCTCTCTCAGACGAGACTTTTCCTCTTCCCACTCCTCCAGTGTACTGTGTCCTGGCTCTTTATCCTTCTGCCGCAGCCTTGCTGCCAGACGGTGATTAAGGTCCTGCAATTCTTTCTGATTTTGAGAGTTCCTTTGGCTAAGTTCTGTATTTTCCAAATCCAGCTGTTGGTTTTTGGTTTTTAATTCTGAAATCTAATTAAAATTGAAATGTTTTAAAAACTAGTTACCCTACTTTCTGCTAAAAAACAGATTTATAGAATAATTTTTTTCCCTCTATATGTAGATAATGTTATATATATACACACACACACTCAACACAAATAATACATACTCATTATTACAAATTCACTCAATTCGATGTGTGTGAAGAAGTGATGGACACTCAGTCCAGCCCCACTCCACAGAGGGGGTCGCTGTTAACACCTGGACACGTATCCCTCCAGACTGTTTTCTATGCATATACAAAGCCCATATACACAGAGATATTTTTCTTCTTTATAACAAAATCATTATCATTGTATCAAAATCACTTCAGATGTTTGGACAGCCTGCTTTTTCCACTTAAAATGTCTTACACACTCTTATCTTTCCAAGTCAGTGCATTCAGAAACCTCCACATGCTATATTTTTTAGTGGCTGTAGGGTATTCCATAAGCCATAAGCCATTCCATAAGTGTGGGCATTTATCTATACCCACACTGACAGATGTATAGATTTATCATTCTTTCTTTTATTTATTTATTTTTGTGTGTGTGAGGAAGATCAGCCCTGAGCTAACATCCGTCACCACTATTCCTCTTTTTGGAATATCCGTGCCCATCTTCTTCCACTTTATATGGGACGCTGCCACAGCATGGCTTGACAAGTGGTGTATCAGTGCGCGCCTGGGATCTGAACCCCGGGCTGCTGCAATGGAGCACGAGCACTTACCCACTATGCCACCGGGCTGGCCCCCATTCTTTGTTTCAATTATGAAGAAACAAAACAATCTTTTAGAAAAGTCATTTACACATGGTAGCATTTTGTATTTTGCATCACTTTTTGAAGATATGCATTACTGTTTTGATAGAGATCCCCAAAATGTCTTCCTCACAGTGCTACCAACTTGTGGTCCCATCAACAATGTCTGGGTACATGCATTTCCTCACCCCTTCTCAGTACCAGATGATATCAATCTTTAACTGTTGCTAATCTGACAGGTCAAAAAAAGAAACTCCTTTAATTTGCACTTCCTAATCACTAATGAGGCTGACCATCTTTCATATATTGTATTCTCTTTTTCTGTGACTTGACCATTCATATCAGTTATCCATTTTTCAACTAGGTTTTGCCATTTGTTTGTAAGAATACAGAATATATTTTATATGTTAACACTTTGTCTATTTCAAGTACTGAAAATACTCTTTTCCCAGGATGTCCTTGTCTTTTGACTGTTTCAGACAGATTCTTAAATGGCCTTCCCCTACAAAATTGCATGGTGTGAGATTATAGAAATTGGGCATTGAATAGCACAGGCTATCTGAATAAATCATAGTTCTGTGAAAAGATATACCAATTAACTGGTATTCTAGATCTGTGAAATTCTGTCCTTAACTTTCTCCTTTCAATCATGGTAAGGAAAGAGGAAGGAGCTAAGATTAATCAAAACTACATGCGAGATAGCATTAGTATTTCATAGGTTTGGTTTTAGAGGTGTCACTCTCCACTCCCACTGATTATAAGCTTGTATTAAGCACTCAGAGCCTAGAGATAATATATACATTATTTTTTATTTATTTATTTTTTTGTGAGGAAGAACAGCTCTGAGCTAACATCCATGCCAATCCTCCTCTTTTTGCTGAGGAAGACTGGCCCTGGGCTAACATCTGTGCCTATCTTCCTCTACTTTTTCACATGGGACGCCGCCACAGCATGCTCTGACAAGCAGTGCATCGGTGGGTGCCCGGGATCCAAACCCAGGCCGCCAGCAGCAGAGCTCGAGCACTTAACCGCTACGCCACAGGGCTGGCCCCAATATATACATTACTGTATTCACAAAAAATAGAAACCTAGTTTAGAGGTAACAGGAGGTGAGTTTGCATTTTGAAACTCAGGATTTACAACCTTACTATCATTAGCTACTTGTTATTCTGGTAGCATAGCCTATAAATTTGTAAATTTCAAACAAAAAAAAAGAAAGTTTCAGAATCAAGAAGCATTGGGAAATATTAAGTATCTCCTTACCTGTTTCTTTAAATTTTCAACCATCTTCTGAACTGCAGCTTTTTCCTGTTCTACAGTTTCTATTTTTTGCCTAAAGGGACAATGAAAATATAACTTAAGTTAGGCTTTAACAGTTGAAGTAAAATAGTTTTAGTCCTTGCAAAAATGCCTTAAGAAAATTTATGTCTTACCACATTTCTTCCTGAGATCCATTTAATTTCCCTAATTTCAGGTTAGAAATGCTATCCTCTTCATTTAAAGTAGTAATTTCATTTCTCAAAATAGAATTTTCCTCTTGAAGCTTCTCAGATTCATATCTGAAGTACAGAGATTTGAAAAAAATAGTTACAACAAGGCAGGCATCTGGCATCTTTGGAAATACTTTCTAGAAACTTCCAATAACACAAGTACTCCATGCCAATTAAAAAGAGAAGTGTAAATTAGTAGTGTCTTAGTACTTGGAAATCAAGCTATGACATATTGACTCATTTCTTTTGAGATGTAAGATTTTCACTAAAAGACTAAGTTAGGGAAGTGTGGCTAAAACACTCAGCATGGAGACAGGAGGGGACGCAGTGCCCACACTGGCTGCTGCTTTCTCAGTGGCGAGCACACTGTTCTGAGCAGATAACCTCATTCATCTCAGTCTCTAGTCCCCCCCAGCTCTGAATAGACAAAAGCCATATTACTAAGCTGTGTGAGCTTTAGTTTTAGGCCCAGGGGACGTAGAGAAAGAAAATTCACACATAATTAAAAGGGCCACACAGAAATATGTACACTAATGTTTACGTTGTGATTTTTTCCATCTCATTATAGTATGATTTTTAGAACTAAAAGTGGTTTGAAGTAAGACGAGGAAAAACTACATCCAGAATTAAAGTATTTTGTTTCATATCATTAAGATATTTCAGACATGGTGTTAATATTTTACGAGTGTTTTTTGAAACCAAATTTGCTAGAAGACTATAGCAATCATATTTTATAAAGTCAAGTGGGCAGTGGTTCAAATTAGTTTCACTTTTGTCTTTATTCTTCAAACACATTTATTAGAATCTGGTAGCTCCTCAATGAAATCTTATGTCCTAAGATAAATTTCCATCGTTTGCAGAATAGCAGCGCATGCTATGTGATACAAGGGAAACACGGTCAGCCAAAAAACACCTCATTTTCCTATATTAGTACAGGAGGGGAGTTCTTATCTACCAGGTGAGTTATTAATACACGAAAGACATTCATCCTCATAGAGCATGTTTCATCAAAATGAGGAGGATAACTAACATTCAGGAAAAAAAAGAAAATCTATCCAACCCAACGAAGAGCTAGAAGAGAGTTAAGGACTTGACAGACATTGACGAGGCAGGTGGTTAAGGCAGACACGCTCCACTGTGGACTTTCACACCCAAAGGAACAACGACACTTAGTTCCTAGGAGGGAGGGAATGCCTCCGAGGCAGGGCTACTCTAGGTGTTAGAGGACACAGAAGCAGAAGGAAGCCTCAAGTTCTGCTCTCCTCTTGAAGACTAATGGATTAGTTTCTCTGGGCACAGCAGGCAGCAGGAATTAGATCTGGTGAGGTGCTGGCGGGATCCGTGCCATGTGGCAGGTGCATACATTACCTCAGGAGTTCCACCTTCTGCTGCATCTCACTGCACGTGATCTGCAGGTCGTGCATCATTGCCTTCAGCTCTTCCTCCTTTTCTCCTTGAGAAGGTGCACCTTTTTGCTTAACTAAAGTGGTGACCCTCTCCCTCAACTTTCTAGTCAGCTCCTGCAGCCTCTTTTTCTCCAGTTCTAACTCTGCTATGGTGGCCTGATGCTGAAAACGTTTGTCCTGAAGGCCGAGGAGAGCAGCGTTTCCCTCCAGTCTAACTTGGTTCTGTACTCTGGGCTTTTCTCGACGTGTCTGGACGGTTCTGTGTAGCCAGGCAATTTCACGTGCTTTTCCTCCTTCCAGGAGCTGAGTATGCTCCTGCCCAAGGTACTGGCCTTCTTGGTAATGTTCTTCTACGATGTGGTGTACGCTCACGCCCTGTGGCACACCCTCCAGGGCCTGACGTAGGTCGAGTGCGTCCTCACGAGGCTCCTCCGCCACGCTGTCTGCATGGGCCTCCTGCACAGAGCAGCAGTCGCGCTGCAGCACTGCTCTGTCTTGCAGCTTCTCAATCTTGCCTTGAAGTCGCAGAACCAGGACGTGCAGCTCCTCATTCTCTCTTCTGACCACATCATAACTCTCCTCCAGGCCGAGGAACGTTGCAGTCACTTCTTCCACTTTCTTCAGCTCGTCCTGTAACCTGAAAACCTCCGAAGCGAGCTCTTTGTTATTTTCTAGTGCTTGGTCATAGCGCGTCTCCATCACTCTCAGCTCTTCCTGAAGACAGTCGTTTTCTCTGCTAGCATCCTCATACAATAGTCTGTACTTGGGAGAAGACTCGGGGATTCTCTCAAGCACCTTCAGCTTCTTTCTTAGCACAGAAACATCAAAAAGTAGGTCCTGTTTCTTTTCAGAAGCTCGATTGCAGTCTGCACGTAAGATTATTAGTTGTTCCTGAAGCTGACAAACCTCATTCTTCAGGTCCCAGGTCTCAGTCCTGGTCTCCTCACTATTTTCAAGCTCAGAAAAACTCTCCACTGTTGCTTCCGACTCCTCGACTTTGACGTCCTGTCTCTGAACAGAGCTCATCCCCGTGCTCCCCAGGTCCTGGACCTCACGGTCCTGCAGCTCACTTAGGACGCGTTGCATGCTTACACCTTCTACTTGCTTCATTTGGTTTTGTAGTAAAAATGGCTCTGTCTGTTCCACAGAATTTCCAAAAAATCCAGTAGTTGGCTCCTCTAAACAGGAAGACATTACTGACCCTGGCTCTAATTTCTGCAGCCTCTGTTGCAATCTAGAAATTTCAGTGGCCATTTTCACATTTTCCTTAACTGCTCTTTCATGAGCTCTCTGCAGGCTTAAGAGGACACCTCCGTTCTCTTCCAGCAGCTGCTCTCCTTGCTGGAGCAGGGACATGGCTCTGCTCCCTTCTGCCTCTTCCCCTCCCATTGCCTGGCCACCACTCTGAAGCCTGGAGAGAGGAGATGCCACCTGCTGCATTTCCTTAATTTTGCTCTGAAGCCTGGAGATTTCTGTGCTCATCTCAGCCTTCTCTTGCTCTGCTTTCTCACAGGTCACTTTGTGGGTGCTCTCCATGGCCAGAAGCTTGGACATCATTTCCTGCCTCTCCTGGTCATGTTCCATTTGTAGCCTTTCAAGCCGCTGGGCAGCCAGCTGCTCCGAGGCACCTGCCTGGCACAGGACCTGCTCACAGTCCTTCAGCTCTCTTTCATGACTGCTCTTCAGCTCAAGTATCTGATCGGACAGCAGGCTTTGCTGACTTGCAGAGGCATTTCTTAGATCTTCCAGGTCTTTGAGTAGCTGTTCTCTCTCAACAGCCATGCTATTCAAATGTTCTTTGTATGTTTTCTCCAGCATCTCTCTCTCTTGGCTCAGGACCAGAGAAGTTGCTTTCTCCCTCTGGAGAGTCTCTTTAAGCTGCTCCTGGGCCTCTGCACACTCCTGGGTGAGTTCGTCCTTCTCAAACTCCCACTGGGATCTCTCCTCGTGCTGTTGTTCCAGGAGCTCCTTCAGCTCCTGGCGGTAGTGCCCCTCCAGGCTTCGCAGGGCATTCTCACATCTCTGTGTGACTTTCTGACAATCAGCCTGAAACTGGGCTTCTATTTGAGAGGTTCTTCTATTACACTCGGTTTCCACTTTTTCCCTAAATGTGGTCAACATACAGCATTACTGGAACTGCCATCAACTCCAGAAGCAAACAAAACACATTTCCTGTGCATAGAAGACACTGCCAAGCAAACAATTTAAGTACTTGCTCAAATGGTCTTCACTTACTGCTGTGTGATTCATTTGTACTGAGAGGGGATCTCGTTTCTCAGAGCTAGGACTGGCAGCCATAATTAATTTAAAAGACTGACTTACCTCTCCCTGAATTTAGAAGGAAACTTTAGAAACCAAATTCTTTGACATACTCCTGGATGTACTTGTTTACGAATTTTTAACCAAAAGCTTAAACTGATATTTTACACTAGATGATCAACTGCATACTAACCTAACCCCTAACTTGGGAAATACATAAAATTCTTTCATTTTAATTGAGTATACATTGGAGGATAGAAGTCATATAAACCACACATACTAACAAATTCATTATGTTTTTGCCTCTTATTTAATAAAGCAGCACTGGGTCAACCAGAATGTGAGGCACTGAAGCCCTCAGTGCACCTGCGATTTCGCGCGGGGAAGGTGGGCACAAAGGCGTATTTCCTAACTCTGTGAGGAAAAAAACCTTCGCCCAGAATCGAGTAGCAACAGCCTTTCTCAGAAAACAATAGGACTGAACGAGGAAGGAACCACACTTGGGATAATCTTACCCTCATCTGGAACCTTAAAAGATACGAGTCTTTTAAGATACAAGAAATATTTCCCTCTTTTTTAAAAAAACAGCTTCAATAACTGGCCTACGTCTCAACAATGGTAAACAGGTTGAAAAACTAAAAGCAATCTGGTCAATGAGCGGGCTATCATGCCTTCTGATTTTCCCGTCTCCTCAACTGACTGGGACTCCTGGTGTGCCCGAGGGGCAGCGCCACAGGCTGCTCGTTTCCCCCACTTCCTTACCTTCCCTCTTGAAGTTCTCTTTGGTGTTTCTCCAAGAGCTCTTTTCGCAACTCCTCTTTCTCAAGAGTGTGCTTCTCCACCAGGCTTTCCAGCTGCTCCTGGTGGAAGTGCTCTAGCTCCTGAGTCAAGTCTCTCACCTTCTCCTCTGTCCAGGCGCCGTCATGAGCGAGTCCTTCCCTCTCCCGGGTGAAGCTTTCCTCTGCCTGCTCCAGTCGAGCCTCGAGCTCCAGCTCGTGCTCCAGCCTCAGCCTCTCCTGCAGCTGAGTCTTCTCCTCATCCCACTTCACGTGCAGTTGTTTTTTCTCCTCCTCGTGTCTGCAGGTTATTGTATGTTGTGCCTCCTTGAGGGCCGCTGCCTGGCCTTGAAGTTCTGCGATTTCTTTTTTAAGGTCACTTCTTTGCTTTTCTAAGATGTGCAGCTCATTCTCATACTTCTGCCTCATGCTCTCTTGCTCCTTTTCACAGGCGACCTTGGTTTCATCCAGCTGCTTCTCATAATGGCGCACCTAAGGTCAGAAAGAAAAACTGCCACGTGATTCAACTCAAGGCCATGGAAAGGGATGGGGCAGTAAGCACTTTTCTCCTACAAGACATTCCTCAGTTTTCCCATATTGTTTTTTTTTTTTTTTAAATTTTTTATTTATTCATGTTTTTTCCCCCAAAGCCCCAGTAGATAGTTGTATGTCGTAGGTTCACATCCTTCTAGTTGCTGTACGTGGGACTCGGCCTCGCGTTGGACGGAGAAGTGGTGCCTTGGGGCGCGCCCGGGATCCGAACCCGGGCCGCCAGCATCAGAGCGCACGCACCCAACTGCTAAGCCACGGAGCCGGCCCTTTCCCATATTGTTTTAAAGCAACTTAATTCAAAAACACATGAAATAAGACATATTTAAGTCAGGCATGGTTGGCTTTCCTTTTTAACTTGGTTGAATGTTGTTAGTTTCTGAACAACTCTATTAAAACTGACTAGACCTTCACAGAGATACCATTTGTCTTCCCAGGCATCCCTTCTAACTGTAAACTTACAGTCTTAAAATACTTAATTAAATTCAATATTTGCTGAACACCTATTAAGCACTTCGCAGGCCTTGTGGGGACACGAAGTTGGGTAAGACATAGTCCATGCCATCAAGGAGAAACCAGTCCAGACATGGTTATGATAAGTACAAAGAAGTATACTACAAGGCAGAACAAAAAATATAAAAGGTATAGAAAAAGGAGTTACAGTGTAACCCAGGGAATCAAAGCAGGGAAAAATCACATTTGGTTGGGGAATTCAGGAACGGGTTCATGCAAGAGGTAGTATTTGATATAAACTCTGACAGGTAAGCAGACCTTCAAAAGGTAGAAAGAAATTATAACATAGCATGTAATAGCATGAGCAAAAGAGGGCAGTTTGATGAAGAACAGCAAACTACCTGGTTTGGCTGGAGGATGAAATAACTCAAAGGAATTGTAAAAGAGAAGACTGGAAATATGAGTTGAAGTCACATGATGAAGGGTTTTGGAGGCCAGATTCAGAGCTTGTACCTGGTTTAGGAGGTAAGGCTATATCAAAGGGCTTTTTTGGTTTTATGAAGATTTTTTTTTTTTTTTTTTTTTTACAAGTTATAGGTAATGTAATGGCCTTCAAGTTCCATGCTTGCTAGGGCTGAAGATATTACATTTTGGAGAAACTCTCTCCCAGGAGGAAAAGGCCTCACCCTCAGCCTGTGCAACCATCCTAAGGAAGTGGGTTCCTGGCAGCCACCAGACACAATAAGACATGTATGCAAAGTGCTGCTCCATGATAAAAAGGAATCGAGAATGCCCTACATGCAGAAGCTTGTCAGAGCTCACAGAGAACGGGACTGATAAGACGGCCTTACTTTATCTTCAAGCTCCAGTCTTAGGCGAGACAAGTCCCTGTGATGCTGTTCTTTCATCTGTTCGATGACCAGCTCTGCCTCGATGCTCATATTCAGTGGATTGCACTCTTCAGAACCAAACCCTGAGAACACATGAGACCCATGAGCCTGCAGCAGGTTCTTTCAATAACATAACCAGCATCCTAGAAGGGACATCCAGTTTAACTAAGGAACCATTTTCAGCCTAAATTCCCACAGATGATATCTATTAGGAAACAACAGAAGCCAGAAGTCTCTTCTGTTTTCAAGCATTAGGGAAAACAAGAAAAAACGAAGGTGAATAGATTCTTTCATGTACAGGCAGTGCACCAAACCTTAATAGAACCCATCTGTTTGCACAGTAGGTGGGGGCAGGTATGGAAATTGTTGCTTAAAGTTGACCTCCTCCTAATGAAAATGCTGCAACATGAGGTTGTTTGGTCAAACCAACCAGTCTTCTCTCCATCCAGCAAATGCTGAGTGACAAACTAGCGGAGGGGCAATGTGGCAGGAGAAAGAAAGGCCAGCATACTTGCTGCTGTGCCTTGAGGAATTAACTTCATGGGTCGGGATATCCAACCCATCACTCAACGTTGCAGAAGACTGAATATTGTAACATTAATTTCTCGTAGTGTAGATGGAACCCATCTTAAATTATCAGCTAAAATTAGGAAAAAAAAATAGGGCATAGGTTAAGAACCTGGATATAGGCAGTTTGGGGAAAAAATTCTCAACTCATCCATATGAATTCACCTCTGCAGCCACCCATGATGATGACTGAGGAGAACAGGGAAAATGTGAAGTGTAAGTTGAAGGCTGAGCTAGTACATAAACAAAATGATTATGTCTCATACTATGTAGAAATTTCTTAAGGCAGGGGACTCCAAAAAGTTTTTCATGTTGGGGTACACAGGCAGATGGGAGAAAGGGCATAAGACTAGAGTCTGGGATTAACAGTCTCGCTTTGGGCTTTCTCTTCAAATGTCATGGCATAAACCCAACTGAGATGTGATAGCTGGGCTGTACCACCCCGTGATGGCACAGCTTCACATACCCACAAGGAGAACTCCCAACACTTGGTCATCTGTGGAAAAGCCCAGAAAAGCTGCTGAGATGTATCATATCATTAGCTGGGCTCCATTCTTATGCTACAGTAAGGCTACAGAATTAGAATCAGAGGAAATGTCTTAGGGCCTCTTCCTGTCTCCTCCCCAATCCTTTATTCATTCTAGAATAAATAGGTCAGGAGAAGGATAAACAACCCTTGTAAGAACCTGTTGTCCTGTTCCAAGTAGCAATGGGGAAAACTATTTATAACAGAAGAACTTCTTCTGAGCCCTTTCTGAAATTCAAACTCAGCACACTGGAGGAAAGAGGCAGGATACCAGGAGGGAGGAAAGAGCTGAGAGTGAACGCAGGAAACCAACACTTATTTATTTTATTTGTTGTTTTGCAGAGGCAATGCAGACATTTAGCACAGCCAGCATTAAGAAACCAAATTCTGTGTTTTCTCACTGGCCCACTCTCCAAAACCATCGTCATACCAGTTGGCACTCTTGTAGAAAGGCAGAACTCAGTGATAGCTCAGTGTCTGAATTCTAACACTCCCTGGGCCTGGACTCTCAGACTGTAGCCAGTTTTTTCTTTTTTTTTTTAAACAAAGCAAATACCCTGGTGGTTTGATTTTTCCATTGCTTTGTTGATGCATATCAAAATCAGATGGAAATAGTTTCATAAAGACTTCAAGGACAAATGAAAAACCAGACCACAAGTGAAATAGCTCAAGAAAATAGTATTGCCAGTCTTTTTTGTTGTTGTTGCCAAAGTTTTGCAATTTTACACTCAACCATGGTTCTAAAAACAAAAGTCAAAGGCAGAGACTCCATAAAGATGGTGTCTGAATGGCTTACCCCGGTCAGGCTCAATGCAACCACTGTTAACATCAAGTTCTTCTGACAGCGAGTTCTTCAAGGGAAGTCTGAACACTTTGCCTTGTGTACGATATTCTTCCAGCTCAGACTGGAGCTCATCCACTTGGTCTTGTAATACCTGGAGTTTAAAAACCAACACAAGTCTTAGACATGAAACCAAAAGCACAAGCAACAAAAGAAAAAATAGATAAATAGGACTTCATCAAAATTTAAAACTTTGTGCTTCAAAGGATATCATCAAGAAAGTAAAAAACCCACAGAACGGGAGAAAAGTTTTTGCAAACTATATATCTGATAAGGGACTTGTAACTAGAATATATAAAAAACTATTACAACTAAGTAATAAAAAGATAAATAACCCATTTCAATATTAGGCAAAGGATCTGAATAGACATTTCTCCAAAGAAGATATACCAATAAGCACATGAAAAGATACTCAACATCGCTAGCATCAGAGAAATGCAAATCAAAACTACAATGAGATACCACTCTGTACCTGCTAGGATGGCTAGAATCAAAAAGACAGACAGTAACAAGTGTTGGCAGGGATGTGGAGAAATTGGGACTCTCATACTGGTGGGAATGTAAAATGGTGCAAACCCTTCGGAAAAAGTTTGGCAGTTCCTCAAAAGGTTCAACATACAGTGATCATATGACCCAGAAATTCCACTCCTAGGTACATAGCCAAGAGAATACACAAAAACTTGACACATATGTTCACAGCAGCATTATTCATAATATTCAAAACAACCCAAATGTCCATCAACTAATGAATGGATAAATAAAATGTGGTATAGCCATATAATGGAATTTGATTCAGCAATGGAAAGAAATGAAGTACTGACGCATGCTACAACACGGATGAACCTTGAGAACATTATTCTAAATGAAGAAAGCCAGTCACAAAGGACCACATATTGTATAATTCCATTTATACGAAATGTAAAGAATAGGCAAAACTAGAGTGACAGAAAGTAGATTATTAGTCACCTAGGCTGGGGGTCATGGGAGAGATTACAGCTAAGTGGAGTGGGAGCTTTTTTTTGGGTGATGAAAATGTTCTAAAATTGATTACGGTAACGGTTGCACAATTCTGTGACTATACTAAAAGACAATTGAATTGTACACTTTAAATGGGTGAATTATATGGTTATGAAAAGCTAAAACAATAAAGAAGAGGATGATTTGGGGAATTTGGGGAAGTAGAGCCAATAGATTGTACTGATGAAATAATTAACTTTAAAGACATAAAGAAAACATCTCTACTTGATTAGAGCCAAGAGCCAAAACTTAATTGTAAAAGCAGCATAAATGTTTCATTTCTTTTCTCAGAGTATACACATATATTTCCTGAGAAGGCAGGCTATGGGCACTCTCATAAGGAGGTGGTTGTTTTTCTCATCTACACACAAGTACAATTTTCATCTAAAGCAGTTAGAACTCAGTTATGCTTACCTTGTTAAAATAAACAAGTGTTTGTGGTTTAAGAAAAAAAATCCCCAAATTCCTAAGCTTAGGAGAGTTACTTTTTTCAAAAAATCAAAGATTCCTATTATGCATAAGGATGTTTCTGTCTCTTCTAGTAGGAATTCGTCATGGTTTACTAGCTAAAGACTTGAGTGCTTTCTGTTTCATTTGCATTTTGTAAATAAAGTAAGGAACGTATTCAGAAAAAAACCCGTAGGACAAAGATGAGGTTTGCAGTGATGGATCAGGAAAGGCTAATTCTGGAATAAGCAGATCAACACGACCACTTATTCCTTCATTTGGAATAAAATTGTATTTTCCTCTAAGCACCAGCAATTTCTGACCTAGATAAGGCAGACGTAAACGCAGTTTGCATGATTCCCTAATATTTCAGAATACCAACTAATAATATTGACAGCTGACACTGTGTTACCTGCTCATTACGTCCCTGTGAAGAATCTTCACAACTACCCTGCTCGCTGGGCACTTGTGTGTGCACCATCTCGCAGAGGAGGACTGGAGGCCCCCCAGGTTAAGTGACTCGCTCAGGGTCCACAGCTAGTGAACGGTGAGTGGGACCGCATCCCAGGCACTCCCCTGCGTACCAGGTCCCCCGCAGTCACTCACCCTGCACTGCCGCTCATATTCATTTCTCATCTGCGTCAGCCTTTCTTCTTGCAGAAAGAATTCAGCACTGCTGGGGTCAAGGTCGCCAAACTAGAAAGGAGAAGGGCAAAGCTGTCACTTCCCAAGTGTCCTCCTTCGACCTATGACATACCACAGGCCTGTTCTTGTGCCCACCCCATCTCCTGAGCATGAAAGGAATGTGACACTTCAGCAGAGACACCACCAGCTGGATGATGTGGAGGACGTGCTGGAGGGATGTGTTCAACTAAGGCAGGGTCCTTTCTCAGAGCCATGCAAGGATTCCCTCATGTCCAGCCTGTTAGAGTCCATCCCTGCAGAAAGGATAACTTCTTTAGCCCCTAAAGAACTCCCTACCAGGAATGTTCTGGTGGCATTGCTCCTGCTCTTTTGAGTAAATACACTTTGAGGTGCATATCAGGAAATCGAATTCAAACAGACTTACCTTTTCTGCTAACACATTTTCCAAATTTCGCTGAAGTTTGTTTGTCAGAGTCTCATACTCTGCCAACTTCTCTGCATTTTCCAGAAGCTCATTTTCTAGACGACTGTTTTCCTGGAGAAATTAAACAGGCACAGATGAAAAAATAAGCAAACTGTGGCACCATTTTATATGATGCATAAATCTGTGCTCTAGATTGAGAGAATGTGTTCATCTTGAAAGTTTCAGCAGATTACACAAAAGTAAATATAAGAAATTGATATTTATCTTATCAAAGAGGAGTCTGCCTCCTCTTTTTTTGATCCTACGGAACTGTGTGTCCAATATGATACCCACTAGCAGTCACACGTGGATACTGAGCATCTGATGTATGTGCAGTACAAACTGAAATGTGCTGTTAAGTGTGAAATACTCACCAGATTTCAGAGTTAGTACAAAAATGGAAAAACAGTGCAATAATAATTTTTGTATATTGATTACATGTCAAAATGATAATGTTTTGGAGATATAGGATTAAATAAAGTGATTTAAAATTAATTTTACCTGTTTCTTTTTACCTTTTAATGTGGCTTTTGAAAACTTGGAAATACATATATGGCTTCATTGTATTTCTATCGGACAGCATTGCAGTAGAAAATTTAATGTCATGAAAAATTTCATATCAAATGAAAGAAAACTGGTTGCAGAATACCTTTTTCATGTGACAGAAAAAGAGAACTCAGAAAAACTATGAAAAGTAGAATAACTCTAAAATCAATTTTCATTTGGTGATGATATAGTTGGGTTTATATTTAATTTACAATTTTACTTTGGTTTAAAGATGTAAAAGCTACACATACATATTTTTCATAATTGATATATGTTTAAATTGTTATAATGAAATACATCAATGGAGGTCCACACAAGGTGGGGGTTTTTTTGTACATATAATAATTGTTAGAGATTTCCACCCACATTAGCTAAAAAAATAAGTAAAACCACACAGACATGCCATTTGACATTTTCTATTCCAATGTTAAAAGCTGATTGGAAGAACATTATTTTCAAAGTACATTTTGCCAAAAGAATATAGAGCCAGTATATTTTTAATACATTCTAGTTCACACCCTCACACAGCAATATGGAGTTAAAAAGAATGTTCTTGAAGCATTAGAAAAAACTACCTTCCCCCAAAATATCAATTCTTTAACTCTAATCTTTCCAAGTATGTCTAAATTTAAATGTTAGAACAATCAGGAGCAAGCTCGGTGTGTCAGGCCTGTGCTGGTGCTCTGGAGACAGGAACCAGATTCTGTTTCTGTCCATACAGTCTGGACAGAGGGGAGGGGGACAGATGAGGACACAGTTACCTATGATGTGATGGAAAATGCACTGTCTTCTGGCAAGAAAAAAGTAAGTGTAATGGGAACGAAAAAGTCACTTGGCCTGGGGTGTTGGAGAAGGCAGTGAAGGGGCATGAAGCCCACTGAGGAATGAGAGAGCTGACAGCAGGTGCAGAGGGGCTGCGGGCACGCGCTGGTGGCTGCAGGCAGGGCCTGAGGTTGGAAAGGGATGAGGATGAGCCCCGTGCAGGGGCCTTCAGTGCTACCATGTTGCTCTTGACAAAGGGTAATGGCATAGTGTAAGTGTTCTTTAGTGAAGTGACTCTGGTGGCCACATGGAGGTTGGATAGACAGAAGAAAAGATGCACATAAGCCAGCTGAGAAATCCTGATGAGTTCTGAGCCAATCAGAGGCTGTGGAAATGGAGAGGAAAGGGATAAATCTGAGAGGCATTTCAGAGCATCAACAGGACTTAGAGGCTGATGAGTGAGGGTGGCTGAGGATTTTAGCTTCTGTGACTTACAGCACATGGTGATGATGTAGATGAGGGAGAAAATTCAGGGGAGGAAGCAGTTTGCTGGTTAGGGAGTGAGAATTAACTCAGTTTTTGATGTGTGGAGTTTCAGGAACTTTCTTAACCTCAACAAGAGTGACTATTGCCTATGTACTCACGACCTTCCAGACACTGTATATGGAGCATCTCCTTTAATCCTCATGTCAATGCTATAGCGTAGCTCTTACCAGGGTGCCCATGTTGTACATTAGGAAACCGGTTTGTGGAACTCGATTAAGGGTTTCCAGTAAGTAGTGGTATCTGGATTGGAACCAGGCAGTCTGAGTCCAGAGCTCCCTGCTTTACCTCTAGACTACATTGTACTATATTATCTGGCGTCAGAGTCCAGTGAAGTGGAGGATCACTACCTCTGAGGCAGAGGAAAGGAGAGGATGTATGAGAAAAAGGCACGTTTGGAAGCAGAGAAACAAAACTGATGGCTTTTGTGTGGCAAGAGATGAGGCCATCAGCTAAGAACAAGGGGGAAGGCAGAAGGTATCAACCAGGTTCCAAACAGCCTGAGGACCCAGTGCAACTTCAGGGAGTGAGGAGAACAAGATACACTAATCAACACCATTGGCAGACCAGAGGCCTGGATACCTCTGAAATCTAGATCCCAGCAGGACTCTGCCATGTCTGGGTCATGACCCCGGTGGGCAAACTTGCGGGAATCCTTGGCCTGAGCCCTGTGCAGACCTGCCCTCTTACGGAGCCGCGGTTGTCCATGTGTTGTCCCCGGCAGGGACCACGGACTACAGGATTAATGGGACGATTACCTTTAAAGAGAGAGCAAGGCGGTCCCGGATGTAGTTCTCTTCTGTTTTTGCTTTTTCAATTTCCTGCTCAAGTTCCAGACGCTGCTTGCCCACCTGTTGCAGGATCTGCTCTCTCTCCTTTCGGAGTTCGCTCTTTAAGGCTGCAATACGCTCCTTGTACTCTTCGTCTAGTTTCCTGTGAGGAGGACAGACCAACAAGCTGCCATCAAATCCCTCAGAGGTCCCTATGCAGATCCACCAAAAATGGAAACAGAATCACAGAGATGGGAAGCTCCTTGAGAAAGTATCTGACGTGTCCTGCTTTCCTCTAGGCCTGGCCACACCTGAGTCACTCCAGCCAGCTGTGGCCAAGAAGCAGGCCGAGCCCCACTCCCTGGGCCTGGGTGGCAAGAAAGGAGGGGCCTGGCCCTACTGGTCGCACCTGAGGTTGTATTCATTCCTGCGCTCTATGGCCGCGTGGTGATCGTCCACCTCTGAGGCCATCAGAGACTTGAGCTTCTCAGCCTTGTCCAGATCCGACCGTAGCTTCTCTTTTTCTCTGACCACTTGATCAACTCGCTCCCTAGAATCAGAAATCAACAGAGTTAAAGGGAAGCTGTTTCTAAGCAACAAGTAGACCCAAAAAGGCTCTCATCTGGCTTGCTTCAATACAAAAACAAAACCAAGACAACCCAAACCCTCCAAAACAAAAAGACATTCCACAGCGCACTTCAAAGCCCACATGTGAATCTAAGGCTGCCTCATCCACAGCAGTGAGATGACGGGAGCTCAGCACATTTGCACACAGGGGGAAGGACATGCGTCTCAGCCTCTGAGTGACCTGCTGGACACAAAGGAAAGGGAATGGAGCAGGTGAACCTTCCACTCAACTCACAGCAAATGCCGGATCTCAGCCTTAAAGCTGGCCAGAGCCGCCTGGTGAATGCCGTTCTTGGTGATCAGAAGCTCATTTTCAAGAGCCAGCGTCAATTCTGTCAGGTTGACGTTTCCATCGAGGCTGAAATCCAAGGCCTAGAAATCAGAACAAGGTCAAGACAATCACTAGTCCTATCCTCTGAAAGCAGAAGATGTGAAAGCTACACAAACTCAGAAAACTGAATTTAATGTCTAGAAGCTGGATGACTGTATTTCTTTAGCGATTGCTGAGGAACAATCTTTAATCTAGAACATAACTAAGTTCTCTCTAAGGAAACTATAGCATGGTTATTTGCATGTTTAAAAAAATACTACCTGGCACTATAAATGAACACAGTAGTTTAATCTTTACTAACCAGGGATCAGTTAAGAGCATTCCTCTTGTCAATAATTTAGGGGTTAAAGATGTGAAAAGAAATTAGCAACAGACTCCTGGTTAAAGGGGGTAGGAAAAGTTACCTCTTATCTCTGAGATCTTGTGAACAGAAGAATCATTAAGGAGAAATCAAATCAAATCACCATTTCAAAAAACACCAGAATTTTTCAACCCTTCCCCAATTTGTCATTTTTCTCCCATTTTAGCTGCCACACCTTCAGGATCTCCTGGCTGTTCTCAATGCCCTCTTCCTGCCAGGTGTCGAGAATTTTCTCCACTGACGCATAGCCCATCCCATCATCCAGGCAGGAGAAGACTCTAAAGCCAATGGTACTCGTCATTGCCAATGAGGTTGTGGCACGTCGTCCATTCTCATCGAAAGACTGGAAGAAGAGAGAGACTTGAGCAAGCTCAGGCGCTTCAACTAGATGTTGGTCAAGATGGAGACTGGTCAGTCCTGACCACGACGAGCAGAAAACACGTTTCTCTAATTGACACTGCTGGAAAAAATGTCATGAAGCCCCTTTGATCTCCTTTCCCAAGTGAGGCAAGAAAGCAAAGCTTATCAAAAACAATTGATCTGGTAGAGAGTTCCTTGACATAGATGAGATGTGTCTCTACTTAACACCAGGTTTCTTCCAACCCGAAGCTGACATTAAGGGGCATAATTAGTGGTCTTCCCACTCTGTAATTTATGGTCATTTCTCAAACCCAACTTTTCCTTCCCAATAATTTAGTCTTTCTTTCTGACTCTTCCTTTGCTTCCCTCTTTCTCATCAGTATTTTTCTTCAGACAACAGATTAATTCATTAGAAATTATTCAAATGGGTTTTAACTTCTACTCACAAAGAAACCACTTCTTCTTTATTTCTTACCTGCATGGAGAGGTGTCTTTTCAATTGTCTATATGGAGTAGATGCTGATGGTGGAAGGGATTTTCCATTTTTGAACAAGCCATAGAAAAAATCTTCTACACTCATTGTGCCATCAGGATCAAGATTATGGAAGACTTCCTCAAGCATCTAGAAAAGGGTAACCACATGTTTAAATATTTCACTCAAAATAACCCAAGGCCCAAAATACCTTTCTGGCCAATAGAAATTGGCACCACTGTTGATCCCAGGACTCCAGAAATATAATATGCATCTATATTCTCATTTCATTGAATTTATTTTCCTTTCCGGTAATATGTCCTTCTCCCTCATACAAACTAAATAAAAGTCAATTTTCAACATCTTCATAATCTTATGCAACTTAGCAATTAACTGTTTTCTCTTTTACTCACACTCTTAGAACAGGTAATCTTTAATGTTGCTAAATGTTATCCTTACAAATTAAAAAATTACTTAAAAAATATAAAGATGTAGCCTCCCAGTGCTGTAACAAAAGCAATTAGTTGGACATTCATTAAGCCATTACACTATGGTGACTCCACATATTTTGCTTATGTTGAATTTTTGAAATTGCTCTGTTAGCACAGCAGAATTTGTTCTGGGGCAGATTGCAATGATCTAAGAGTTTGGTTCTGAAACCCACGACTTGGGATTTAGAACATTACTTGGAACAACACTGTATTTGGTGGTTTTTATTTGTTTTAGTGCTTTAGCACAGGAGAAACTAAGATTGGATAAGAAGGATTTGTGTGTACCATAGGAGGGTTCCAAGAGACACAAAGGAAGGGAATTCTGCCTGGCTCTTTTGCCCCCTCTGACAGTAATCAAGTAGTGCTCCTCATACACCAGGGAAGCGGAGGCTGAACTACAGCCTCTTCTCCAGGCTTGCCCAGGAGACGGCTTGCTCCCTCGCTCAACAGAGGAACGGAAAGTGGACTGAGACAGCGTGAGTCACTGATGCCACAAATCAGGGAGGGAAGGCAAAGACCTCCTTCCTACTGGCAGTCAGATTCCTCTCTATTTTGGGGGCTAAGATTTTTCTACAGGAACATGCCTCCAACGCACAAAACAGAAATCACCTGGAGATCCTGTTAAAATGCAGACCCTGATAGTAAGTCTAGGGGTCAGGCCAGAGATTCTGTACTTCTAACAAGCTCTCAGGGGATGCCCTTGTTGCTGAGTAGCAAGGAGACAGAATAAGCAACAAATTTACTCTTGTTCTATTAGAACCTACAATCGGGTCCATTGTAATAAAGGCCTAAATTCTCTGTAATGCATTCTCAAACTTTCAACATTTGTTTCATAAATCTGGACTATTGCTAGGATTCGCGTCATCCTTTAATTGTTGATCTTATTCTTCATGTAAGTGCTTGAGGCATTTCTTTTATCTCAAATGCTTTTTTCCAATTCACATCCAATAGGAAATATCTGTTTCTATTCTTGTTTTTATACACTTCCTCTGGAGAGGACTCTGAAACAAGAAAACCATTCTAAAGAGAGGAAATCTTTGGAATAAGCAACAGTTCGTAACAGAAAATTATGATGAAACCAACAGAAAGGTATTTTGGGCACAATTCTGAGGTTGCCACAACCCTTTAGCTTCTCTGTCTTGTTGTTATCAAACAAGAGAACGCTTTCTTAGAGCACAAGGCTTTCAGGGCCATCAAAGCTGAAGTCACAGTAAAATCCAGGTGCACTGACTGAAGTTAACAAGCACATTTTGGCTCTAACCTTAGCTCCACACTGCTTGGCCTTGTGACCTTGGCCAAATCAATGCACAGCTTCCAGACTGCCTAAACACCCATCACCTGAGCCATTCAGAGTGGTGGAGCAGGTCAGTCCCACTGTTCCTGTACATGAGGGAGGGGACGTGGTACATGAGAGGATGTGGATTCAGAAGCGGGTGGGCGGGCAGGGCTGGGCTGGAAATAATGGAAGTGAACGGACAAGTGGAGCGCCCTCTGCAGCCTGTGCAGGAGCTGCGTCCAGAACCCTGAGGACACTCTCACTCCCCACCATACACCGACCAGCTCTCTGGATGGCCAGTTTCCCAATGAGGAAGTTGGGAAATAATGCAGTAGAATCGGAATCACAAACCTAAATACCCAGAGCGGCCAGGAGGGTGATGTCAACGAGGGAGGCGGGACGGGGTTGAGACATCAGAAAGTAGTGCCACGTAAAGCAGCAAACAGAACACCTGGGAGGGCAGGCCCTGTCCAAAGGAGCCAGCTGCTTCTCCCTGCCAGCAGAATGGAACCAATCTTCTGATTTTCAGAAAAATGTCCTGATTTTCAAGAGGCTAACAAAGTTCAATTTTTAAAAGTATTGGGCAGACCAAATAGAATAGCCTTAGGCCACATTTGGCATCTAGGGTGACGCTTTGCCATCCCTGACCCATAGTCGTCCTTGCTTCTGGGAAGCAGAGGACTAGTTACAGCCACACGACAGTGAAAACAGCAACAAGCAGCGATGATCTCACTTCCTTTATCTATAAAATGAGGGGGACTAAACCCACAATGGCTTCCAGTCATAAAATTCTAGGGTCCAAGTTGCATGTTGATGAGATCATCTTGGACTTTTAGCTCCTCTGTGGTCAGAGCCAGTAATACAAAGTACGATAGTGTTTCATGGGTTTTTTTGGAGGAAAAACACTAAGTAAAAGCTATATTCAATAAGCAATCCCTTATTCACCCTCAGATCAGAGGACAATAACTAATGTGCTACTTCCTCTCCCAGGTTTTGGAAACTCCATACAGAAGAAAATGCAACTCCTCGCACATGGCTACAGTTTATTCCAAGAACTGTTCTTGGATAAATAATCCAAGTTTGTGCAATATTTCTTGGCAAAAACAACCCAAGGTTCTGCACATTGCACTGGTTCATAATTTAGGAGGATGAATTTAATTTTATGACTCAACAGCCACCATGGAAAAATCAATGACTACTGAGCCATTACAAGGGTAGTCACTGGGTATGTGACAGCCACGTACACAAGGGAGAAGGGAAAAAAGGCTTTCCTGCAGGCCAGGCTACTTGGAAGTTTTTGATGATAAATGTCTTTCTGGTTTAGGAAGACAATCTCACGTATCCCCTGAGTGAGCAGACAGCATGGTTTCAAATATCATTATAATCAAAGATTCATAAGGCTATGACTGGTGCCCTAACCTCTAAGTCCCTCTGATCCTATTTTCAGCTCTTTGAAAGGCATATCTTGGAATTATTTATATTCTTGTGTTTCATGGCTCTTCATGCACCCAGTCCTGCTAGTTCTCCTCTCAATGTTTCAGAGAATATAAAGCTCAGAGTTTTAACAAGCAAGAGTCTTTTGGGGGCGCCTTCAACATTCTTCTTTGTAACTTCAAAACCACCAATCTACCCTTTTACATTTCCTCCTGACCAGAATACCATACGGCTCCTGGCCAGTCTCCTAACCAAAGGCTCTCTTTACACCAATGTGCCCTGTAAAAGTAAGTTTTTCCCAGATATTACTCAATCTGCTGAAGAACCCAGGGATGATATTGAGAGCCTTCTCTCCAAAAACCTAAACTCATCAGCCTAGCTTTTAAAATATTCCCCAACTCAGATCTACTGAACTCCCTGCTTACTCCTCCCTCCACACCTCTCCCACACGTGGCTCTGTGGCAGCCACGTCTACAGACATATCTGACGTCACGGCCACGCTGAGCCGGTGTCTGATGACAATGTGGGGTAACGTGCTTAACACAGCGAGGGCACACAGTATGGGCTCAGTCAGTGTCAGCTACTGTCAAGTTTTCTTTTCTACAACACAATGTGAGCTCCTCAAAGACAGACTCTTCGTGGCTATTTCCTAGGAAAAAAAAAGAATGGAGTCTCTGGAACATGCTGCAGGAAGCCCAAATACAGCTGTTCCTAGCCTGCGGCCAGTGTAGCTTTCATCATGATTATTATTCCTGAATAAAAATATGATGTGAGGCTTACCTCTCCATCGACACTCTGCAAACCATACTGCTCACAGATGGAGACCAACTTCTTTCGGTTCAGGTGACCATCACGGGTGATCCCCAAATCTTCACAAACCTCCTGCAGTTTCTCTTCTATCCAGTTTTGGGGAGGGGAAGACCCACTTGGTGAGGCATTCAAATCATCTGGGTTCCAAAATCTCAACTGGCCTGAAATAGAGCATACATTGTGTCGTCCCCAAAGGAATTACAAAGAGAGCCTATTCTCAACGAAAAATGTGCTTTTTGAGAGTAATATAAGAAAAAGACTATAATGTTGATTCCATTCTGATTTGATCCTGAAGTTCAAATGAAACGGAACCACTGGTACTCAGGTTGCAACTAGAGCCACCAGGCACCTTTGCTGACTGGCAGTCACACCCACGTAAGAAATATCACATCCTGCGCGTTACGTTGAGGGTCTACAACTGAAGACGGGCGCAGGCTTTGGTGTGATGGTAAGAGAAGGGTGGCTGAGAGCCATTCCACAGAGCCTCACATGCCCTGCCTCAACTAGCTACCGGACTTTGTCTCTACTTTCTTTCCAGTCTAGGCACCAGAACTGCCTTTACTGAGAAGGAAATAATTTCATGATAAATATCATAAAATAATCATAAAAATCTCAACATCAGCCTGTCCCCAAATCTTTACACATATGAGCATTCTGACCTACAATCCCACTTCAAAGAATAAATGATTGCAAGCCGCAAGTTACTAATTATCTATATATTAAGGATAAGTTCTATTTGAAGACTTAAGGATCAAACTACTTACTTAAAAATCAAAAGCTATTTATCCTTCATTAAGTTCTCACTTGTAGCTAAATTTTCCACTTATATACTGGAGATTCTGTAAAGCCATTACTTAAACATGAGATAATTATTGGTACAATTTTGTGTGCCTGGAAGAACCTTGGAGGGTTGAGAAGAGCATTTAGTGCTACTCTACTATTTCTGGAAGAAATTAGCCCACTACGGCAGTGTCTTTGCGGGTTGGAGACCCAGAGAAGACACTGTAATTACACTTCAGAACAGGTAACCGGGAGAGGCTGTGGGCGGGCTGGGTTCTGTCAGCTGAACCACAGTGCCACCTACTGGCCAGAAGATCAATGCGTTTTGATGCTTCTTAAATACATCTGAAACTTGTCAAGGAAGGCATTTTTTAATAGGTCACTAGTTTAGAACCGCTGGCAGATTAATTTCAAAGTCCATATAAGAGTAATTATCCCATACATGAAATTCTACATCTTAGTTGCCATATCTTGCATGATGTTAAAGGCTAGGATTTTCAAATTATGAGCTATCAATTGGGAATGAATTTTTTGTTGCTGCGGTTGTTATGGTCACTTCTTAGCTGGCCGCCAGCATGCAAGGCTGTCAGGAAGCAGGGTAGGAGATGCAGGAAGCGGGTGGAGAGTGCTCTGGGACTGGCAGCCTTCCTTCCCAGGCAGGCCGGCACACACTCAGCTCCTACCTTCGGCTTCGTACTCCTCGCTGTGCTGCGTCTTCCAGTGCTGGGGAAGGCAAGAGAGGACGTTAGTGTACTTTAGAACCTATTCAGTTTCTCCAAGACCAGATCTCTCTGGCTCTGAAATCGTCATCTGAGTGAGTCGCATGACCCGCCAGAGCTTCCACCCAGGTGGGCTCTCCTCAGTCAACCAGCCAATCATGAGGAGACCCCTAAGAAACACCACCCGCCTTCTGCAGTATTTCACCACGGATTTGCCTTTCACATTTGGGAGGTCACTTATTCACCAGCAAAACCTATCACAACCAGTAAAACTAAGCCAAAGCCAATATTCAGAATCTGTCAACCAACAAGCACTTGTACGCATGCATTCATGAATTTGTTCTTCAATAAATGTTTACTGGCTGCCAGCAGCTGGAGACAGCCAAGTGAGGAGAAGGGAGCAGTTACTGTCTGTGGAAGCACGGAGGCAGGAAGGAGCCCAGCGTGTCTGTGGCACCGTGAGGAGACAGAGACACAACCCCAACAGGCAGGCTAGAAAGCTCAAGTGAAATAAAACACACATCACCGGTAAATTACACTGACAGCAGTGACATTTATCTGAGCTGGACCATTCTGCCCCCTTATCGGGCTATGTTACCCCTGGGTCTCCCAGGTCACAGCACACAGCTGTGGTTTGTGTGCACACACACCCTCCAAGGGCACCAGTCAGAACCAAAACCCCGCGGCTGTTCCACTAGCTGGCAGGGCACAGGGCAGCTTCAGGCCAGCAGCAACAAGTGGGTCCGCAGTTAGAGAGCTGCCTAATCACCCCTGTCGGGAGGTTCTACAGCCATCGCAGGAAACCCTGCTGAGAAAAGGCGAGTCCCGTTTCAAAACCCGGCTGCTGTCTCAGCAAAGACCCAACTTCACGAAGAAGGCTGCCTTTGATAACACATAACCAGCCCATTCTCTGCGAGGGCTGATGGTACAAGACGACCTGACTTAGAATCCCGACATCAGGAAAACAAGCCCAGTTAACTCCTGTCTTCAGAGCTTGGCTTCCTCGTGGCAGATGGTGTGCCGCCTGAAATTCTCAGATTAAACGTTGCATTTCAGTCGCTTGTTCAGTGATGTGAGCTGAAGTCCTTTCAAGCCCTAAGCCCATCTACTTGGTCCCTCTCCACGCTGCTCATGCTAGTCCTCTCCTCGTAACTGAAGGACACCGTCTAGTAGGATTCACAGTTCCAGCGTTACTTAGAAAGATACTGAAGAGAGCACCAGTTCAGAGAGCTCACCGCATTTTGTGACACTAAACTGAAACCCCAAACTGACGATGCTGAGATGGATTATTCTTGCCACACAGAAGACACCAAAAGGCCATAACTCAAAATATACAGGTTCCCTACAACTCATTCAGATTACAACTGAAAGTCACTAAGTCACATGGAGCCTGTGGAAACGGAATCGGGGCACCGTGTGATTCCTGCTTGTCTGTTTGTGATTACAACTTTACCAGCCCGCATTTCTAAATAAAGACACATTTCAAACCTGGTGGATGTAGGAGGCGTGGTGGGGGTGGGGAGGAAGCAGTAGAAGAAACAGTCCTCCACGGATTTTCTTACATTACTGTTTCTGGGCAGAATTCAACTATTTTTATATAAAAAATTTTAAATCAATAAAGCCCCACTAATAAAAGGATCCTGTCTCTGCACATTTGTTTCCTCATCCAACAGAGCAATGATTTAAATGCTCAGATTACCGTGGCATCCAACGTTCTGAAAATTCATTATTCAGCATATATGTTGGAAATACCCTGAAATTAAATCTATTAAATCCACCTAAAACAAATAAAATAGGTTCCTATGATCTAAGAACCACTGGTCACAATAAAACCTACCAGGTAACAAGTAGGGGATGATTTTTAACAGCACAAACTGGTGGGAGAGATGGCAGGGGCATATGCTGTGCCACTGGACCCGAGCAGGGAAGAAGGCCCCCACTGGGATCTACAGTAGGAAAAATGCACACACACACACCTTCAAAAACTCTTGGTAACAATTCCTAAAGCAACAGGTGTGTATCTTGCTACATAAAAGTTTATTTCTTACATTTGCTTACTTCTCAATTCATTTAAAATAGTGAGCAATTAGTTCAGAGGAGCAAGAGGCTCCAATATCCTGTTTCCAGTGACTCATGACCTCGTCCATGGGACTGAGTGCACATATCTGATTTGCTGCCCAGGACAGGACTTCCCTGCTGCCCTCTTTCCCGACTGTCACCCCTAACTAATACGAGGATCGAGTGTGGGGCTCACAGCGCAGACCTGGGAACCCAACGGCCTGTCTCTGCAGCCAGCTTACCTACCAGGTTGGGCTTGGACAAGTTTCTTAATAACCTCTTTTGCCTCAGTTTCCCCATCTATAAAATGAGAGTAAAACAGTACATAGATCACTGAGCTGGGTAAAACGCTTAGAATTGTGCCTGGTACATAATAAGCACTATAAAAATTTATTATTATTTTTATTGGACATGTGTTTATGTAACACATATTAAATTTATATTTACAGATTATTTTTCATTACCATGTTTAAGTTTAAAGAATTAATGTGGGTGAGTCTTGGGAGGTATCAGTTATTCCTATAAACTTGTAAGAAAAATGCCAAGTCTCTAGCAGATATTCAAAGAACACAAAAAGACAATTCACCTAAGAGGCAACACAATTAAACAAATATGGGGAAAGTTTCATGTTAACAGCAATCAAAGGAGAAATATACATTAAAACCAAGCAATCATTTTGTTCCCATTAAATTAGCAAAGCACTTAAAATATGACTTTTATTACCTCAAGGTTATGATTTAACATAAGCCTCTTTATATGGTACTGGTGATAATGTAAACGTATATGATCCTTTTAGTAAAGAAAATGGCTTTATGTATCAAAAGCCACAAAAACGTTCATATTCTTTGACTCAATAACCTCACATGGTTTCCGATGGCAATAAAACGAAAGAAAAAAGGTGTGCATAAATATGTACATTATGGCACTTTTTGTAAGAGTAAAGTATTGAAAACAATCTAAATATTCAACAAACGGGCATAAAGTATAATGATACATCATAATGTAGTCATTAAAAGTATGATTATAAAATCATATAAGAAAACGGAAAAACATCTTCTGAAATGTTAAGTGAAAAACCATAACAACAATGTTATCCACACTATGACTACTGCTGGCAAAATGTTTCTACAGTTAGACAAAGACTGGAAGGAAACAGATAATAAAAATAGATACATTTGGCTGAGGGCGTTATGGGAGACAATTTTATTTTCTTTCCTGTTATAAATGTTGCTTATGTAATATAAATAGGTACAACTTCACTGTTTCTTTTGCCCACCTGCCCTCAATTCTCACTGAAGGAGTTTCCTGCGGGTAGGGAGTGGGGAGAAACAAAAAGCCCCCTCCCTTTGGTGTGGACACTGCAACCCTGCAAGTCCTCCCTCCCTGCGACCCGTGAGGGTGGAGAAGGCTTGGTGGGGCCCAGGTGCTGTTCAGGAGGGTGCCTCCGAAGCTGAGCAGAGTGTGGAAAGATCAGGGACGCTCGTCTGAGACCTGCCTTGGGGACTATGACCATGAGCATCCAAAAGAGGCCTTCTTAGGACAGCCCAACCCAATAGCATCCGGGACGGGACAGCCTTCTAAACCCCAGGCAGCAGTGGCAGCTTAAATGATTTCACACAAACTCTTAGGGCAAGTGGTGATGGGGTCAGGGCTAACTGCTTTAAAATCTCTAGGGGTAACAATTTCCCAAGCATCTCTCCCACGGCCCTGTGTAAGCAGGACCAGCCTTGCTAGAAGGAGAAGCAAACTTCCGCTAATAGCCACATTTTCATTCCAAGACTGCTCAACTGAAGATGGGGTTGACTGCCCAGATGTATGCGCAATGCTTCCCTGTCTCCATCAAGGGTCTGTTGCTTTAATAAGAGGGAGGTAAGCACATGGTGGCTAAATGGTTGTTATTAAACTGCAATTTCAGGGGACGGGGAGAGAGAGGGAAATTCAATTCATTCACAGCTCATTTATTTTCATTCTCACTGCCTGGAGCCAGCAGTTGCAATGAAAAGCAGAGAGGGAGAGGGAGGGAAGGCAGGTTAGAAGGTTGGGGGGATTAGATCATTGGCTCCTGGAATACCACCAGTGACAGGAGGCATCGTTCTGGAAAGCGATCGGTGGTTTAATAGCTGACGTTTCCCCAGTGCAGCGAAAGCCTGGCCGATGGCCTCCAGGCACAGACCAGCCTGCGCTCTAGAAAGCAGATAATCACAAGAATCTCTGGAAAATCGGGGGAGGAGGGAGGGACGATTGCTGGAGTGTGTTCTCAATACTAAATCATGAAAAAGGATTTTTAATTTCTTCCCTTGAAATCACATGTAGCCTCGCACTGGATAAAAAATAAATATTCACAAATTTTAAAAAATCATTCTGCGGGACTTCAGCTGCTCCCAACTCTGGAGGCCAAATGGTAGTGCGCGTCACAGGGTTTGGCAGCGACACTGGATTGGGCCTGGCTCTGCCGCTTTGAGAGAGCCTCAGTGCCTTCATCTGCACCATGGGGACGACCCACTGATGGGGATGTGGTGGCACCTGCCTGGCATTTAGGAAATGTTAGCTATTGCTATTATTTCAGCCGGAACGACGATGAGGTGAAGGGTTTGGAAGCCAGAGGCTGACCCCCTGGGCTCCATCTCAGCTCCACCACTTCCTGGCTGTGCAACCTCGGGCAAGTCACTTAACGCCCAGCGTGCCTCGGCATCCTCCGAGGGGTGCTCATCTCTGGAAAGCACGTAAAGCAGTGTCTGCTATAAATCAAGCGCTAAGTGTCTAAGTAAATAAATACTACAATTATTATTGTTTCTACTACCTGGCTGTTCAAAACCAGGAGGAGGGCAGAGGAAAGAAACAGCTTTACGAACAAACCCAGAAGAGACTGTAGAAACTACAGCTTCGAGCACGTGGTTGTGATGAAGAATCAACTTTTGACTCAACTTAGGGGCAGGGCCTCCCCAC